AATTGGGCTTCTCAATAATCTGTGAATTTGCCTTCTGTTATCGCGCTAGGGTCCACAAAACCTGTACCGAAACTTACGTATCCCTGTCCTTAGGCATTAATGATCATCACTTACAGCAAGCATCAAAGTGAAAAACTGCTTTCTTCGCGAATCAAGTTGGGCGCATAGGGGTTTTGGCTTTGGCCCATTTTGCCCGCCGCCGGATGCCGGGCTTTTCAAAATTTTTAGAATTTGTTGCAGTCTTGCCTGTCAATTTAGCATACTTGTCATATACATACAAAATACTGCGGTATATTTTTGAGGAATCAGCCAGTGATTTTTTAAGCAAAAATTAACAGCCAAACAATAGCCAAAACATATCTGCATATTAATCGACAGCCAAAACAAATCTTCGATTCATATAACAGACTATGGCAAATTCTCAAGAAACATACTTTGCGGAAACGAAAAATACAAAAATTGCTTGTAAGATACTCCTCAGACACCGCTAATAATCATTTTTCTCCATGAAACCATCTTCCCGAAAATTACTTATCATCAGTCATCGATTCAGCGGGTAATACCATGAGATTTTACACAACATGTGAATGAGAGTCACTAATACTTCCACGTGATGTAATTTAATAAAATGAGTCACGCACCGCGCCCCCTCCATTCCCTGAGAAGTTGTCAAAATTATTAAAATGAAATAAACTATCTTTATAATAACCAAGATCTGTCGCAAATGATTATCAGTAAAATATTTCTTTAAACTTAGATAACTGAATTCCTGATCTCTCGATCATGCGATGCAAAATCCGTCGCTCTGTCGCAGGCCCCTTGACTTGACCAACCAAGTCGCCAAATTGAGCCCAAAGATTGAACATACTATAAAATCGAGGATGGTCCACGAGCGCGTCGTCAATTAGAGGAGAGGCAGGACTTCATACTGCTTCGCGGCCGTCATTTCATCAAGATCGACGGAAACACGGAAAGGAAAAGTTAAAAGTGAAAGAGGAATGTATGCGGGATCGGTGCCACGGGCCACGGAGAAAGGGTCGCGACAAAGATCATTTGACTCAATTGCCCACCGCGCGTACGGGTTTTCCAGGGTGGCGTCTGACCAGATTTCGGCCAAGTCTAGCTCTCGTTCAGCAATCGAGGGCTGGTGGCTGTTCGCCTGGAATTAAAAGGCCAAACTGGCCGGTTGAATGCGGAATTAAATGCACAAACTGACACATGAGCAGCCGGCCACTGTCATTTGTTGAAGGGATGCATATCGTCACCTACCTGACATATGGGCGTAATTGCACTCTACAATGAACCCTGTCTTCCATACATTTCAAAGCTTTTTCGGGCTCATTTCAATGTGCAGTTACGCACCTATGTTAGCCAAGCGATGCATCGTCCTTGCATAGCCAAATCGTGCATTTTAATCCAAATTTGAACTGCCATTTTAGCTGTCGGGGAATATACCTAAAAATCTTTCTGTCGCAGAAAATATGCTGCCTCCTCAAGCTCTTGAGCTATAATATAGAGTAAAATAACAAGAAAAAAATATTTGAATAATTGTGTGATCCAGTACCGGCAAAAACTTCAAATTAAGCGCAAGAAGAAAATATGAACAGAAAAAGCTCTCGAAAAAAAGAGTTGCCTCAAATTATTGTTTAAAAAAACTGTCGAAAAAGAGGAAAATCCACGAATTTGTGTCATGTGCTGACGTGTATTCTAATTTCTAATAGGCAGCTCACGTTGAACTCGATGGTTTAAGAAAAATCAACCAAGGACTGGCTGTGCGATCAACCACAAATTTTGTATATTTTAGTCGTTTGCCAGACATAAATTAAGTTAAGATTTGTTATTGTTCTGTGTTCACCTGCTCAGAGACTACATATCGATGCCTAAAGTGCGAGACCGCATATATCTGTTTGCGAGATTCTAGACTCTCAGTCATACATTATTTTTTTCTTGTAAACTTATAGTCAACGTAATTTTAACAAAACTTCTTTAATTTTTTTCTCTGTTGTTTGGATATTCTGTATGGATATCAAGCTATGAAGCTGACTTGTTCCTCCTTAAAAAAATAAATTATAAGCGAAGACACCGCGATGGAGATACGTGCTGTCACACTTTAGCCGTCGATATGATATGCCTCGATATTTCAGAGATAAGTGCATCACGTCCGGTAATGGGGGCGGAGGGCTGATCTGATGGAGGACCCGTCTGATAGATTTTTTGTGAAGCGAAAAATTCGATCAAAATACTACACCATGAGAAAATAAAGAGAAAATGTCATAATCTACGATTTAATACGCTTTTGCTGATTTATTTAATATGGTATCGCCGTCGAGAGGGAAGTGCGTCTACAGTTTCTCTTGCACATTTCTTGGGCCATGAAATAGTCTCAGTGGTACTATTAACGCCAAAATTGTGTGTATTTGATCACTGTGCGATTAGGGATTGTTCAGAAAATACGTAACGCTGAACTCGGAGTTTCCGAACCTCCCCCTCCCCGCTTACCTAGCTTTAGTGACGTGGGCCCCAATCCTTTAAGATGTAAAAACAAAATTGTCTAACGCTCTCCTCACTGCTGTCATAGCGTAGAGAGCAGTAAGGGTCAAATTTTCGAAATCAAGGCTCCTTAAAAATTCGTCTAATCCATTTTAGATGAAATCACAGAAATAGCTAAAATAGCAAAATTCATCTTACTTTCATGGAAACGAGACATATGAGAAAGCCGCAAGTGCGCAAAAAATGACGTAGTTTCAGGCAAGGTAGCAGTTCTGCCGTGATAGCGAAGAGAGCCGTAAGTGCAACATTTTCGAAATCGAGTTTTCTTCAAAATTCGTCTAAATTCTTTTAGATGAAATTACTGAGACAGCTAAAACAGCAAAATTCATCCTAATTTAATGAAAACGAGACGTATGTAAAAGCCGTAAGTGCACAAAAAATGACACAGTTTTTTTTCAAGACAGCCGTAGATGCATGAGAGCCAATGAGAACAGTGCTTTCCAGTAAAGTGCCGCCCTCTTCTGCCAATTTCTAACCTGAAAATGTGTTTGTTGTGCGTCCAAAACGCAACCACGAAAGCATGCAGAAGATAGCACTTACGGCTGTCTTGCCTAACAATAACCTAGCATGAAAATGAAAAATACCCTTTTTATGTAATGGAAATTAAATCAGTCGATTTTTAATCATCCAAACGATCTCTAGGAATCTTTCGGACGATTCGTGATAATTTGAGAAAAAACGGAGGCTTCTGTAATAAAATTTTCCGGTAACATGCCTCCGAGCCCGTTTTACCAAAACTTCATTTTGGCACTTACTGCCCTCTTTGCTGTCAACGGCCCATCACGTTGACACACATTAATCACCGCACCTGTGGGTACTGAAAAGCAATATCGTGATCTATTAACTCAAAGGCTCCAATGAATCATCATTTTCGGAAGTGGCTGAAATCTCGGGGATGGTACTTAATATATTAAAGGGAGTAGTACTATTATTGTGGGTATAATTAGGCCGGGGAAATAACCCGAAAATGACGCGAGGTAACAGTGACAAGGAGCGTATTGAGAAAGGTGATTAAGTGATGGAGGTGTAAGGTTTTATTCCTCCGCGCACTTCATTGTAAAAGAAAACTTTTAATTTCTGTGTTCGCAACGAAAGTTTTGTTTCACATGTATGTGAATCTACAAGTCGGGAGAAAGAAGAAACGCAAACCTACCGGTATCTTTTCTAAAACAAGAATTTTTTTTCCCCTAGGCTCTGTCAAATTTTTCGCAGGAAATATCGATGAGACTTTTCTTCCCAATAAATTAAAACCAATAATTCCGAAATGCGGTCAGGGTAGAGAGGAGGGTTCTACACTTCTACAATCAAAAGTATAAACAACACTATGAAGATGATTTGACCTAGTAAAAGCGAATACGTGAAGCTTTTTTCACAAACTCTTAAAAAATTTGTCAAGAAGTATTAATTAGAATAACACTTTTGGTATATTTTTAAAGGAAAAATGCTTCAGGACTTTTACATAATAGATCTCTGAAAAAGAAGCCTCCCGTGTTTGAAGCATTATTATGATTTTGTTCTTTCAATTCTTTCAATTCTGGTTAAAACCAGATTAAGTAAAAAGTTACAGTAAAGTCACATGTTTCAATTTCTTTACTGATGTAATTTCAATTATTGATACAATGGTTCAAAATTGCACACTAAAAAGGGCTTTATTAGAACTACTTTTAAACAATTTTTCTTGTAATTGTCTGTTTAAAATTTACGAGTTTCTCGATGCGAAGATCATTTGAGAAGAAGAGAAGGAGGAGGAAGAAGAAGAAGGAGAAGAAGGAGAAAAATTGTAGGATTGTAATAATAGTTAGAATAGATAACGCAGTAGGAATGGAAGCGTCGCGCAGCGAGGTAGCGGTAGTCTGATTTACGCTGGAAATTCAAATATCGGATAGGTTGAGCGAACTTGCCGGGGCCGGCTAGTTAACTCCAAAGACTGGATTTCGTATATCATTGCCGGGCAATGGTATTTAACTCAGGATCTAATGATCACCCCCGGATCGATCCCTCAAATGTCAAGATTTCAACCGCATTGCCGGCCCGTCCCATCCGACTACCTGAATTCTGATCGCAGAACAAAAGAAAGGGAATCCCATTCAGATTTGAAGCCAGTGCCCGCGATGAATCGATCCGGCCTCTCGACACTTGACGTGATACGTGCCTTTATGAGCTATCGAAGCATATCATATGCAGTCTCTGATTAAGGGAAGATTTTCTTTCTTACATGTTGACATGAACGTATCAGCTGCTATACACAAAAGCTAAACCTCCTCGGAAACAGGGTCTCCCATATTTTTTAAAAATAGGAAATGGATAGAAATTTTGAAACTCCGCCATCAGGATACTGATTTTTACAAAAGTCATCATCGATGTGCAATTTCTGTTTTGTTACTCTGTGCATGTGTGTGATAAGAGCAACGCCTTAAAGTTGGAAGATTAAAAAAGAGAAAATTACGAACCTTAAAAAATACAGAAACGAAGAGCTACTTTAGATAAAAACGACACTAAAAAGTAAGATCTGTAACATGCGGCTGGCTAACCATTAATTGTCAAAAAAACGCATGTTAATGTTTACGTTCAAATCAAAGATTACAGAATTTTTTGGGATTTTTGTTTTGGTAACTAGTACGTGACCAACACAGAAAAAAATTCCCTAGACCTATCCGAGATTTCGTTCAGTCAAAATCTCACTTTTACCCATGTAGTGCACATTAATTTCATTGTTGGTAAAACTATAATTTTCATTACTTTGTTTCATCAAATATTTCTTGTGACCACTAATTTACCGCAAAAAAAAAGGTGATTTGAAAAAGAAATTTACTGTCAGGGAAAACACTAGCTTGACTGATTGCATCACATGATGTAAATAAACACAAAAATAATAAACAAAGATTCGTGAAGATGAAAGACAGCTGAAAGTTCAGGAAAATCATTTTTGCTCCCTATTATCGTGGTCTATTCTTTTATTAACACTATCATTCGGTGTTCTAATCACTATCATTCATTATAAATTACTTTTTGCCCGATATTCTCTTGCCCTTTTAGAAATAACAAATCCTGCTGTGCCCTACATTTGTCTTGGTTACTCTTCTTTAAAAATCAGTTCTTCCTACTCTTGTTAACTTCAGAATGCTTATCAACACCTCATCCGACTACGTGCCGATCATTTCTATCCAGAACGATTGGGAAGAAAGCATCAAGTAAGTTTTACACTGCACAACTCTCCTTTTACTCTCTTCCTACATGTTTGCAGATGTTGGATATTTTCAAACCTAAAGGCAACTCAAAGGTGCACGCCTTTGCAACTGCTACCTCAGCATTTGCAAATATATTAATCAAGCAATAAAAGAATAGGTTTGCAAGTATATTCACCACTGAGAAAATGAGTTTGCATATATTAGGAGGCATCATACCCCAGCAGGAGGACATAGCGTTGGCAAGGGGTGCATAAATTTCTTGACCATGCCAACGGGCGGGTCGCATGTCAAAATGGGAAGGCTGCAAAAAGAGATTTATAATGTTGATGGCCAGTAGAGTTACATTACTCTGATGAACCGTTTCTTCTGCAAAATAGCAACAATGAACACATACGGTGTCCCAGGATTAAGTACGAGTATTGAAGGAGTCGATTTTTGGGTAAAAAAATAGACGCATTTGTGGTCTAACTTTTTTCCCAAAAATGCTTGCCCTGGGGGCCATCCCCCACCCCCTGCCCACCCGCACTCCATTCAGTCCCTATTATTTCGAAAATAATTAGTCATAGCGAAAAAATGCAAGACACATTTTCTCCATATTTTTCAACGTTGAAAATAATTGTGCCATCAAAAATAAATTTTTGTTGCTAGGTATAAACATTAATTTTGGCCTTCTTTAGGTTTGATACCTACCCCGCTTATGCCTCCCTCTAAATGAGTTTTGCCTGTTTTGGAGATGTAAAATAAAAAGAACGCTAAAAATTACTACCAGTCACCAATTTTCATTAATAATGTTCGACAAACATTGTCACAGTGTTAAAAAGACGATGTTTTTTCTCCAACTTCGGGGAATCGTGGCCCCCAGGGAAAGTGTTTTTGAATAAAACGTTATACGACAAAACTTTCTTTTTTTGACCAAAAAAATCGACCCCTTCAATATCCTTACTTCATCCTGGGACACACTGTTCACACTGTATAGTCACACTAACGTCATCACTTTGAAATTTCTGAGGCATGAGAGGTTTTTAAATGGGTATGCCAATTTGTGTAAAGGAAAGGCCAAGAACTTTCTGTATTCTTTGTGTTTGCCAATGTAGGACAAAGCTAATTATATTTTTTGGCTGTACCTACCCAATGTACTAAGGGCACTCTGAATGTTAACTTTATCTTTAAATTATCTTATTATCTGAATCTCTTAACTTGTCAATTTGTTGAATCAGCAAGCGTGCTGTTATTTTAATTTTTTTCAACACTTTATTTCTGTTTCAGGAAGCCAAATGACACAGCATGGGTGTCGTCCAGTTTCAAAGGTTAATGACTTTTCTCATCTAAAAATCTTACCCAACATGTTTTATCATTTCTAGAATTATTTTTGCTTTTATTCTAATGCAAATGTTTTAGAATTAACAGATTTCTAAATGTGAGCACGATAACTGTTCAAAGTCCTTGTTTGTCAGGAGTTAGGTCAAGCAAGGAAATAACATTGAAGGAATTTGAATATAATTACGGAAACCTCCTGAGTAATTAACTTGATGGTTTTTTTTTTTTTTTTTCCCCCCCATTAAAACTCAAAGTTAACCTGACCACACCCCTTGGAATTGAGGGCATTTTTGTAGAAGTGAGGGAATCCAAAATATGCTGACCAGCAGGTAAGACTCAAAGTAATAGATGACAATATTGGAAATACCTTAATTAATAGTAAGTTATACTCAACATGCTTCACTCTAGAAGTCATATGTACTAGCCCAAGGTGTACCAGTTGATAATTGAATGATCTTACTTGTCCATGTGGTCTCTGCTTGTAAGTGGAAAAACTCAAAGAAGAAATTAATGTATTCTCAAGTCTGATCGGATGCAGTCTCTTGCTGATAGTAGCTAATTTGCTATTATTTTAGATGGTGAGTGCACTCAAGGACAACTAACGTTTGTCAGTGTCACTGCAACTGGGACTCCTGTTGTAAGAGCATCTCATGGATTCACCGTTGAGGCAGCTTCAAAAGATACAATTCAGATCAGACGCACCAACACACCTTTTATGTGCGTGTTTTTAGCTGCATTAAAAACATACCCGGATATTCATGAAAGAAATGTAAGTGTTCCACTCATATTTTTACCAAATTAATCTGGAGTCAAAATGTATGAAATATTTTAGCACCTTTTTGAGCATTATCTGCTCACAAAACTGTTGAAATTAGCTACTATACTCTCTTTAAAAAGTAGTTCCTTTAAAAATGACCGCGGCATAAGAAAATACTTTTTTTAAATGATGATTTTAATTTTGATAATTGTGAAAGAGTAGTTTTTGCAAGGGAGTTTTTTTAATATTGAAAAATATTAATATTCTAAATGTTTAATATTCTCATTGGAAATACCTTCCAAACAAACAAAAATTAAAATTAGATTTCTGAGAGTATAGCCATAGTGGTAAAAGAACCTGCCTAGCCGCAATCCTAGTTCTGCAATTAAATTTTAAATGCCTTTTCAAGGCAAAGCGCTCAAAATTACATATAGTTTGACCCCTAAAAGCTGCTGAACTGTATCACAATTGACCAGAAAGTTTTAACTAGCCATCATATTAAAAGGATAAAGCAGCATTTAGAAAACTGCAAGTGAACTGAGAGATTAAATGTCATACTTAATTCCCTTTCGCCAAAGTTAACAAAAAATTTCAGTTCTGCCAAAGTGTAGAATGACAGTGGATCAAAGCTGGGAACAAAAACATACTTTTTTGCCAGCAAATTTCTATTGACATGTGTTCAGTAATTTTCATAATTTTGAAGAATAAAATAGGGGAATATACATCTAAAGGTAGGTACCCTCTTATTACATTTACCAAATATTTTTGCCTTAAATGTTCTATATTTTCTTGCATTTTTCTGAAAGCTCATGGAGAATTTTTTTCAGATAATATCTCTTGATGTCACAGAGCAAGGATTGGCAGTTTCAGCTAGTTTCGATAAAATGAAGGTGTTCAATCTACGGACAGGAGAAGTTAGAGTAAGCCATTTTATATACTCATTAAATTCAAGGAAAGCCTTTACAGAAAATAAGGTGGCTGATCCAACATTCTTAAGGAGGGGTGAAAAGTGTTTACTTTTAAAACTAATTTGACTACATCATATGCTCTCGACAACAAGAATAACTTTGATTAATAAGGAAACAAAATTCATTCCCTGACAGTTGCTCCTAGAATTCCAAGGGTCTACCCGTAAGAAAAAAATGTGTAACTCCTTGCATAACAGAGGTAAAGTTTATCACAGCTGATGAATCGTAACTTTTTAATCAGCCCAACTAAATGAAGTTTCTCCAAAATATATCTTGTTATTTTGCTTAATTAATCTTTTTTGCTTTAAATTAATTTTGCTTAGTACTTAAAATTTACTGAAAACAACTGAAAATTGAAAATAGGTACCATAAATTATTATGTTTTACACCCGAGAGAGGAAAAATTCTAATTTTGGTTGCTGTTCTCCAGTGTACTCTGACAGGGCATGTAGCTGACATCTACAAATGCAGATGGTTTCCAAGTGGGGAGGTCATTTTGTCCTGTGCTGCTGATATGCAGATCAAAATTTGGTCAGCCGAAAATGGAAATTGCGCAGCAACTTTAATTGGCCATACAAGAGCAGTGACAGATGTAGCCATCATTGAAAGGGGCAGAAATATCATTTCTGTTTCAAAGTAAGATTTCTCCATAAAACTTTCTTCCCACAAGTTGTTTTTTTTGTTTTTTTTTTGTTCAACAGTTGATTCTATTCTAAGAATAAAACTTAGCCGTCAATTTTGGCTCCTTGCTCAAGGTGACTCCATTAAAAATAAGGAGATAATCAGGAGAGAGTCAATGATGAAACTCCCAATCCACATATTTTGGTTTGCGATGTTGCAGACTTCCTGCCATACTTTATTTTTTCAATGGAGAACGTCTTAACGTCAATTCTTAGACTCTTCCGTGGTGTTTCTTCTCTGAGCAAAATAAATTCTGAAAAAACTGTCAGGAATGATGCTGATTTATTCTTGTAAAAGAAAATAAAGTTGGAGCGGAGCTTTTTCAACACCACAAACAAGATACGTAGTTTGGGAATTTTACTGTTAAAATATCATGTCATGATCAATGCTCCCATCACCAAATCTAAGCTTGTGTGAACTATTTGATACAGTTGAGACTCTTTTAAGTTTGCATTAAATGTTTAGTATATTAATTATTTCCGTTGGCGCATCAGGCATCGGTCATCAGGCAACTGTTAAAACTTGAAGTAATAGAAATCGGATTATTGCCTGCATCTTAAGGTGCTTAGCTCAATATTTTGGATGCATGATAGGAAGTCACATTATTCATTGCCAAATTTCATGAGATGATATATTTTTTATAAGAGAACAGTAGTGTAAATTCTTTTAAAAATTCCAGGGGATTTCCTTTGTGACATGCGGAACATTTTAAAGAAAATTTCGAAAAAATTTGTACCACCACCTCTCTGCAAAAAAATAAATTATTCAATGACATTCAACAATGGCCGTTGTGACATGGTTTCTTTTTGCTTAACCGTGTCTATTTTAGCGGGATCCATTGAAAATGTTTCTACTGCTGATGAAAAAAAACTATGAAATTCAAAAATTAAGGAAGAAATATGTTTCTAAGAAGCATAAAGCTGAAGAGTCAATTGTCCCACCTATCATTGCTGCAGGGTCTAACGTATGACAAGTGGCTAGTGTGTGTAATGCCTGCATGCTGAGGAATTTAAATACTACAATTTGCACACATTTCCAACCAGTTCAAAGGACTATCAGTGTTGTTCTTGTTGCATCTTTTTTAAATGTAACTCAGCAAGAGATTTGCCAACTTCCATGCTTTGTTTATCAGACGTTCCATTAGTTTGTTTGTTGTTTTGTATCAATTGTAGGGCATGATTGTACTATCTAAGTATTTATGAACAAATGAATTTTATAACTTTTAAATCTATTCCAGGGACGGATATGCAAAGCTGTGGGATTGTGGAAAATCAGCAGTTATCTCCGACTTGACAAAAGTGGACTCAGCTATATTCTGCTGTTCTCTTTCTAGTGCGCCTACATTTTTAGAACTGGGCGATCCTCCCTCAACTCCAAGTAAGTTAAGAATGCCTCCAGATCTCTGAATCCACAGAAATGAGTATGAAGCTCCATTATCCTCAAATTTGTTTTTTTCGTTTTGTGTTTACAAAGAAAAACATGAAGGATTCAAAAAATCTTCATCCTGCTTTTTCTTGAAAAATGTTATCAAATCCGAAGGATTTGCTTTTACTTCAATGGAGTTGTTTATTTTTGGAACAGCTCAGAAGAATTGGACATTTTGAAAGGAAATCTCAATCTAGATCAACTTTATGAGGCGATGGCCATTATTTTTTATCTAAAAAATCATTTAGACATTGCATGCTACCTTGTTTCAATGCATTTTGCAATTATCCCTTTATTAATGAGTTGAAGCTAAATTTTTCCTTACTATTTTTTAAAATAGCAATGATCTTACTTTTCCATTTTCTACCAAAGCAATGTAAATAATTGAAAAATAGAACTATTTGCCTTCATACATAAATGTTTGAGGTTCTGTTAGATCAAACCATGATCTTGGTTCAGGTTTAAAGCGGATTCAGATTGAGCCCAAAACTTCACTTTCAAAATTTCTGAATCAGCAGCCATTTTGACCTAGACTCAGAGGAAAATCGGAGGAATTGGGACCAGAAATTTCTCTACTACCCATTTGAAGTTGTGTAATTCAAAAACTTAAGAAGGAGCCATCTCACCATTTTGTTTGAACTAACATTTTCTCTTTAATCCCAACATGCTCCAGATAATGTTTACCTTTACATAATGATATATGACATTGACTTAATGTTGCGGTGTTGTTACTCAATTATAATGATGTGTGAAATGTTGTTTTATTGCACATTTTTTCAGGTGAGCGTGAAATTGGGACAGAAAATAAGATACTTATTATCGGTTGTGAAGATGGGACTGTCCAGTGTGTGGCTGTCCAAAGTCGAAAGCTACTCTTGACGACTTTTACAGGTAGTGCAGTCAACTGTTGTACATTTGTCAACAGTAGCCAGTTCATTGTTGGATGCCAAGATGGGCGAATCCTTCTCTACAACTTGAGTGATGCAACGCAACATGCATGGGCATGGTACGACAGTAACAGTCCAGTCATGTCACTCATGGTTTATAAGACTTATGGATTTATGGCTGGTCATGCTGATGGCATTTGCATTTTCCGCTCTTTTAAAAACAAATGCACGACGCGCCTCCAACTTACAGGACCTCTTTGCGACCCTGTCTATAGTATTGTCTCAGATAGCAAGTTTGTCTATACATCTACTAGAGATTCAGTCATTCGCGCTTACTCACCCTTCTCACACATTGTCAAGTTTTTTGATGAGATTAGTTAATCTCACTGACTCAAATTAATTTTCTGTTAATTTTTAAGACTTCCAACTTAAAGTAAGCTGAGCTACAAACTTATGAAAGTATCATGCTGAAAAGTAAAATCAAAACAAAGACTCGAGATTAACTTGAAATTTTAAGCTCTTATTTTCCTCCAGAAGTTTTTGCAGGATTACTGAGTGTCTCCTATTTTTTCTCATAATTTGTTGGTGGTTTAAACTATCACTCTGGTGACGCAGAGGGCGTATCTCTATTTTCACATGAGCCTCAGAAAGCATGGCGCTATGTAGTCGATAAGGTTCTTGTGGAGTTTGAGATACGTTCTTGGGTCAGAGGGGGAAAGAAATTTCATTAATCTAGCATAGCATTGTTTTCTTTCACTGAAAGATTTTACTCTATCATCGATTTCCAGAGATGGTACGACTATCCTATTTAATACCATTATGAATTTTAAGTCATCAATCTCCTGTTTTTAAAATCGAAAATCTAGTGCATCTCAACTCAATTTTGTTTACTGTTGTCCAGATTGTTTTTATCAACTGTTCTTTAATTTAATGTTTATTTTTATTTAATTTAATTTGTTGCCATTTTACAGGGCACAGATTTGATGTTGCACTTTGTGTTTAGAATAAAAGGAATAAGACCAAATGAATGATTTCTTTACTTCACTTGTTCTGAGAAACTGAATGCAATCTCCAGGACAATTTCTCTTCAAAAATGTTTAGTGACGAATCTTTAGGAAGTCAGTATACTGCTAAAATATACTCGGTTTAACTGCGCAAAAGACTCCCGAAAAAAAGATTATTTTCCTGATAATATTTTTTATCAATATTGGTCCAACAGAGCTTGGTATAAATTCTTGCACAGCCAGACTACAACATTTTACAAAAAGGAAGACAAACCTTCATAAAAGTAAAAAATGACACGATCTCAATGCTCCCTTTATCTTACTAAACACACTTAAGCTCCAGCATGTTTCTCATACTCAAGAAAAACTAGCCAGTAAGAATAGTGTCAAAGGATCCTACAGAGAGGAAAAAACTCTTGATTTCATATCTGTGACTAACATCCAGATTCATCTGTTTCCTATCAATGCTTCATAGCAAACAAATTTTTCACTGTTAAACTTGAAATTTTTAGTACAGTTTTTTAAACGATGATACTACTTTTCTGAAAATTTGAAGCACTCAGTTGCTTCATGCTTCTGAGGGAAAATGATTTACAGCATTGATGCCATAAATGGAGGAACAACATAGGATGTCCTGAAATGATCAGGGCCGACTCTTTGATTAAAATTCTAAGCAACCTCTTGAGCAGATTTTAGTTTTTCTGGAAGAATGTGTTAAAAATAATTCATTTAAAAAAGTCTCAGCCTGTTTGAATAAAAATCGGTCAATTCATGACAGTTTGAAAGAGGAATGTGTGGCTACTACCTATGGTTTCTTCTAACAATTTATTCGTGTCAAATTAAAAACTTGATGAAACTTTGCCAGATGCTCTGATTATACTGATGAACATAGTTTAGCAACATCTAGCACAATTTGGCTATGCTAATTTATTGTACTACATGAGACACAACTTTACAAGGATGGAAAATAGATTTGTGCATGGTTGCAGGGGTTACATCTTGAACCATGCATTAACTAAACAGTATTGTCAAGTCGTATTAGATGTTGCCAAGCAGTGTTTGGAGGCAAAAGAGCATCTAAAAATATTTATCAGCTTATTTCGGTAAGAGAACATTTTTCAAAGAAAAACAGAGGATGCCATATACGCCGTGCTCCGAACACGATAAATTAGGCTTGTTTTGCTCAAATTAGCTGATGTTGGTATTAATCAATTTCTTTTGACATCTCCATTGTAAAGAAATCATGGTCACTTTGATAGGTTGCTCGGTTTTTTTTAATTGGAGCACTAGCCCAGATCATTTACAGACACCCTCTTATACTTATAACTTGATAATTAAAATTTAAAAAGTCCAATTTAGAATGAACCAGGTTAGGTATTAATTTGAGTTTCCTAGAAACTTTGGAGCGATTTTCACTGTAAATTAAAAAGATTGAGAGATTTTCCCACAAATTTGTTTTATGGAAAAAGTTCTTTCCTCTTTGAGAAATGGACAATTCTTAGGACTAATAATTCAGTACATTTGAAGTTTTCTTCAAAAAAGAAATGAATATGCTCTGTTGAAATATTTTTACAAACTTAAATTACTTATTTATTCTTCTTAGAAGTACTAAAACACTTCAGAGGGAATGTTTGATTAGTCACCTTTTTCTGAAAGGAAGCGAAATAGAACTTTTGTATCATGAAAAAGCAACTAGGAGAGAGGGAGAACGCTTTAGTTGCAAAACCGATCAACCTACAAACGGAAGTAGTGGCACCATTTTTTTCTTTGTTTATTCAAAATTTCGTCTCAATATTGGGAGATCGGGCGCTGGAAAAATTTTAACAGATCTATATTATTTCTAATATATAAATCATTGATGTTAGACATGGTTAAAGAAAATATATTTCACAAGAGCTTCATGAAAAATATAATGTACCTCTGGACAGGGTCAGAATTTAATAACCACAACACTTGTTTTTTCATGAACACTTTTCGATGAGTACCTTCGTAAGCTTTTAAACCTGAGTGAGAATTTGATGCAATCTTTGTCTATCATATCAAACGTCCTTCTCGGCAAATTAATGAAAACTTTCTGCATCCGATCGCATACAGAACTCATTTTAACAGTTTCCAGAACGGTTCTCTCTACACTTGCTTTGATGAAAAGCTGGATTGAGAATATCATGATTAGGTACCTACTACATGACAGGTAAAAAAGGGGAAAAGGTTTTATCCAACATGATTTTGGTGTTTTGATGACTCAAACTTTCGTTTTCAACAGTCAATTTAATCAGTGTCCACTTTGATTTTTACAGAAAGAAGACAATTTCAAATGAGGTATTCTTGGTTAAACTAAAATCTCCCTCAGGCACTGATTGTAGACATTTTCAAGTTATTATAGTTTCATATTTTGCCTGAAATTTGTTAAAATTTCCGATTTGCAAACATGTCTTACGGTGTTTCAATTATTGCCTTATCTAGTGATCCATTGAACCGCTTTACTGATATGGAAATTTATTTATTTTCCTTCTTAATTAGCAATTTTTCCAGTCAAAAAGGGATTACATATCTTGAAGTATTGACGTTTTGTTGCTGTTTGATGAACATGGTTTATGTTCTCAACTACTGCACAACATTTTCCGTTATTCTTGTTGACCGATTCTTGTAGCATTTGTCCTGAGAAATTACTATTAGGCGCATGTTTATTTTATTCATAACTGTTTTCAAATAAAACAATTATGTTTGATAAGTATCAATTTTTTTGTAATCTTTTCTTATTACTGTTTGATAATTAATTTATTATTACCAACAAAAAAATCCTGTAAAAAATAATTTTACCTCAGAGCATTTTCCTATCATTTAAAGGGTTGAAGATCAATAACTTTTGAGCAGGGCAGCAAATGAAAACAAATTAGTTGTGGAAGTACAAAATATTCGAGTAAAAGTTAGATTTCATTCTAATAAATGTAAAAACACAAGATCAGCACAGTTTATAGAGTTCATATACAAAGGCTATCCAAATATATGCAAAAACTAAGCTAGCTGGACGTTTGATGTAGGATAAAAATTCTACATTTATTTTCAAAGTTTGAGCCAGCTCCTAAACAGCTGAAACACATATGAATAACAAACTATTTTCTATTGATGAATGAGATAAATTTGCTCATCGATATAAACATCTCTGTTACCACAACCTTTAACTTTCAAGTAAAACAAAGTAGTTAGCACCCATAAATAAGCCATTTCAGCTGAACCTTCCTACAAATCATAACTGAATTTAAAAAAAATAAAACTATGATGGACTAATATATGGACCGCATTAAACAGAGACCAAGCCACATCAGCTATTGCCAAATGTAATCGGGCAATTTAATTTTTTACATGAAAACGGTTGTGCGGATTTTTGTGCAAATTCCTATGAATTTTCTCCATAATACAAAGCAAATTCCTTACAATTTTCAAAGGAATCCACACAAACGTTCTCTCGTAAAAAATCAAATTCCCCTGTTAAATTTGGCAATAGCTGATGTGGTTTGATTCCTTTCTGTTTAACGCGGTCCATATAATAAGATTTCATTTTGAAAGGAGAACCCCTTCCACATTTCAGCAAGTCTAGGTGTGTGCAATATGCACCTCCCATTAGTCATTATTTATTTACAAGAGTAAATTGCAGCAATTAATCATTGTAGTCTACACCAATAAAGTTGCAGAAGGCGAACAAACATGGAAAATATTTTCTTCAGTCAGGTGTCATCTAAAAAACATGTTCTTTTTACAATTTTTTTTTTTTTTCATAATTTCAAGCTTAACTGTTCAGCCAGTATTTCGGAATTATGAGATCTTCAGGAGATAAGTACAAAAAGCATGAATATATGGGTATAAAAAGAAAAGAAGCACCTAGAGATAGAGCTTAGATAGAGAGAGGTGATCAATAATTTCGCGCAATTATGGACAAATATTGCATATCCAAGTATTATTCACCTTTTTTTCATCTGGAAAAAGGAAAATTTAATTATATTGTTTACCCAGTTGCATAAAAAATTGATTACCTCTTGAGTAGTTAGTACTTGGTTATGCACTTCAATTTACATGCCTGTTGAAAATATAAAGTTCTTACTAAAGTATGAAAAATTATCTTAATAAAATTGGGAACCTATCGATAAGAATAAGAAATGTACAAAGGAAAAAGTTAGAACTTTGATCTTCATGAGATCAAGGGTGATTCTAAATTATCCCTTCAAGTAAAATGGCGAGCTGCAATAAATACTTTTCTTGCTACAAGATTAAAATTTCTAGTAACAGGAAATAATAGATAATTTTTTAAGTACAGTTAATAAACTAACAAAAAAATTTTAAAAAAGTATTTTTGAACACTTTCAGAAAAACAATAATTTAGGTTACATGTTAAGTAGGTATGTATACATAAATATATATATATAAAGAAAGTCTTTTGAACACTTCAAGAAAGGCACTTATGAATACTCTCACTAGATCATGAAATGGACAAGAATGGGAATCCATTGTATAAATTTTTACCACAATCATGAGCTGGGAGTTTCCTGCCAGCATTAAAATAGACTTGGATACCTACTTACTTTTTAAAATGCATGATGCACGGCTAGGCAAAGAACATTCTTTCGGCCGTAAAAGACTCAAAAATCAATTAGCTTCCTCAGAATGGGGGTAAAAAGTTACTAGATAATACATAAAATTTTGATTTTGAAGCAGAGCTAACCTTGTTGTGAAAAAGGATTAAATGATTAGTACACAAAAGATACGCCTAGTGGATGGGCAATAATTCTTGAAGATATTACAATCAATAATTTTGGCTGACCTACCATGTATAAATTTTAAAATAATTTTGAGGATTTGTTACTTTTTAAAAAGAAGAAAAAAGAAAACCTTTGATGATAGAATTGACTATCAAAGTTTTTGCAGGGATCACACATGAAACAACCAAGAAACATTAGATCTATGTTAGTGGGAGAGTTCTGTGCAGTATTTACAGGTAAACATAAAATTATGCATGAGTCAGAATATAAAAAAGTACAAAAACCTTAAAGAATATAACAAGGAAAATGTAGTAAAAATTCTTTTTGAAAAAGGCAGTTATAAAGTTTGAAAAATAAGAATTAATAACATTATGCAGAGACAACCTACTATGCTACAAAAAATTAACAGAGAATATATCAACTAAAAGACTTGCAAATAAAACATTTAAAAAATCATTCGAGACCACACTAATTAAAATCTCTATTAAAAATGACAATAGTCTTCATGCACAATACATTCTCATGCATCTTCCTAACCTTGAATAATTCAACAAACTAATTTAGTGACACGTCTTAAACGGTCAATTCAACTAACAACACTTGAAATATAACACGAGAAAGAAAGCCATTACTTTGTAATCACTTTCCACTTCGTCAACAATTTGGTATCTTCCTTATCATTTAATTCATAAAAATAAAATATGTTTCAATTTGGGATCCATCATTGCTTCGAAGGTTTAATTCAATTGCGCACCAGACGTCCCTTCTCTATGAGATTTACAGGTATGAAAATTCGGATTTTATTTTATCCGAACATTGCATTAAAGTATAATCCAGCATAAAAAAACCATGAAAAAGAGTCTGAATTATTTTGATGCTGAATTTTTTTGGTTGCAAAATCCGAGGTAAAAAGAAAAAAAATATCTATTTATGTTTACTACAAGAAAGCAGTCCTCAAAAACTTAAGAATATTACACAGATATTTTTCATTACTGTATTCTGAAACTTGGTCTCTTCAAACAACAAGTAGACTAGTTGTTGGAGAAAAATCTTGGTTAACTCTCCTCGATGGAGGGATTTAGTGCATATCGGCATGCATTTTTGACATGACAGTCATTAAAAAATATTTTTAGGGGACAGCTTTTAGTTGGCTTGCAACTAAGAGAGGAAATTTTAAATTAAGATCTACCGCAAAAATTTCAGAAGAGGTTACACCTTGTATTTAAAAGGAGTATTTTTTTTAAAAAAATTTGAACTCTAATGAATGTGAGTTCAAGAGAGAGGTTTAGGTGATTGAGGCGGTTGGAGTTTTGAAAATTTGACTGACTTTAACTTCTGGACTTGATTGAAATGGGTCATCTTCATCACAGAACCATCTCGTGTTCCTCTTGTTTCCCAATTGATGTGTATTGCACCTTTCTTGTTACTGAGTCTATGACTGGCCGAAGCTGGTAGCTAATTTGGTCACGGTTAACATAAAGTAGAAGACAAACTAAAGATAAGAGAACCACAGTAAGGGCTGTCAAAACAAAAGTTACTAGTGTGTGTGATGAAGGAGGTTGCACCTGGGTCATTAGGAGAGTATGGGGCAGACAGTCACTGTGACCTTCTATATGCTTATCAGTGTTGATACTGTTGCTGGTGGTACAAGTGATAGCATTTTTGTTCCGTATTCTGACCTGAGAGACACGTAGCCATGCACACAGATGCTCCATTTCATGACCACATACAAAAGGATTACCACTGAGGTCGATAGCAAGATTTTTGTGGCGTTGTGGAAAAGAGTCAAGTACGGCCAAATCAGCATCTTTCAAGGCCATCACCTGATTTCGCTCAAGGTCAAGGAATCGTAAGTGCTCCAAGCAAGAGAGGTTAAAGTGAAGGTCTCTCAGTAAGTTGTCACCTAAGTGAAGATCCATGAGATTTGGGAGGCTACAAAAGACATTAGGGTCACGGAACCCCGTAATTTCATTCTGCTCCAAATGCAACTTGTTCAGGTGTCTCAACTCACTGTTAATAAAGATGTCATGAAGGTCTGCTGCCAAATCCTCACTTGTGTTATCTGCAAATGCATTTGTCAAGTGCAGCTCCGATAGGCTGTCGAAGTTAGAAAATACCCTGCAACCAATTAAATATTCATTGAAAAAAACTTTGTACTTTCAAAGAAAAAAGAGGGATAATTTAAAGGGCTACCAATTCGTAGCAGAATTTTTGACAAAAATTTGTTTGAAAGATGGTTATGTAAGTTATGTTTGAAGGTGATGGGATCTGATAAAATGGAAAAACTTTGCACAGTAGGCAATTTTTGTGCCATCTTGCACTGGTAGCAGCTGTGACAAACAAAATTCTTTCCTTGAATTCATTATAAAGAAATCATTATTCTAAAAATAAAATTCCTCAATTACTTTAGATTGAGAGAAACAAAGAGACGTTGACTTAACATCCTAGATGTTGAAATATAGCACTACTCTCAAAATATAAAGTCAACTATGCAAGACAAGCCGTACAAGTTTTCAACATCCTTAAATGAACATCACTTTTTTTCCATGATGTTTCCTCCTTTCCTGATATTACTGCAACTACAGATTGTGCCTATCTGCACCTCTATGTTACTTCCGAGATATTCTTGAACTGATCATCTAAAATTGCTTGTGAATAATTCATACCATCATATTCATCAGTTGCGGTATCATGAAACTTACTCTTCATGCTCAATGGGCTACACTTCCTTAATATATGATATTACGATACTTTCTCCGTTACTTTTTGAAGGACATGAACAGCTTTGTTCCTTATAATCAAGGAATAATAGTTGAGCCTTTCTTTGATTTCTTTGCTTCCTGTCCATTGATAATTGGACTGTGTTAGGCAGAGAGGAACCAAGCCACATCAGTTGTAGTCAAATTTGATTGGAAACTTTAACTTTTTACATGATAATTGCACATGCAAATGATAAGGCAGATTTTTGTGCAAATTTCAGTTAATTTTCTGCAGAGTATGAAACAAGTTCCTCAAAATTTTCAAAGGAATTTGGATAAACGTTCTCTTGTAAAAAATTAAATTGCTCGGTTAAATTTGGCAATAGCTGATGTGGCAAGAGGAACTTCTCAAGTTGCACCTCCGATCCAGCTGAAAAAATTTGTACAGACTCATTGCATGAATTCGTTGGACCCGTGTTTTTTTTTCCAATGCACCCTGGAAACACCCCAAAAAAATTCTGAAAAGTCTTGTTTTGAGCGTGCGGCAGACAGCGAGTGACGCCGCGCCAGGAGGGTTAGGCGAGCGCTTGAGTGGATATACACAGTTTAGCAGTTCCCATCAAACAGCAAGCGGTAGCTCTGCAGTAGAGCGCTTGACTCGTAGCCAACTAGGCCCGGGTTCGAATCCCGAACTTGGTGGCTCCAATTTTATGATCGAATTTTATTTTCTCACACATTTTCTGAAACAGCACTTCACACCAAATCACATTTAATACATTGAAACTTAAGTAACATCAATTAATTTACAACCATCACCAAACATAAATTAATCAATAATCAATAAATTCTTCAATTAGAACTATAACTTCATGTTTTTTTGTTTTTTGGGTGTGTGCGTGTGTTATGCACATGATTATCTCGCCGATCACTGTTCTTTCACATTACAATACTATACATTATATTCATATATATTTTTTTTTTTTTGCGTGCATAACAAAAAAGAGAGAAAAAACAAGCAGCTATAGTTCTAATTCAAGAAGTTATTGATCATTGATTAATTTGTGTTTGGTGATAGTTGTAAATTAATTGATGTTACTTAAGTTTCAATGTATTAAATGTGATTTGATGTGAAGTGCCGTTACAGAAAATGTGTGAGAGAATAAAATTCGATTGTAAAATAGGAGTCACCAAGTCCGGTTTTCGAACCTGGGCCTAGTCGGCTACGGGTCGATCGCTCTACCGCAGAGCCACCGCCTGCTGTGTGATGGGGACTGCTAAACTGCATATATCCACTCAAGCGCTTCTTCGCCTTACCTAACCCTCCCAGCGCGACATCACTGGGTGTCCGACGCACACTCAAAACATGACTTTTCAGAATTTTTTTGAAGTGTTTCCATGGCACATTGGAAAAAACAAAAAAAACACGGGTCTAATGGATTCATCCACAGAGTTTGTACGAATTTTTTCAGCCCGATCGGAGGCGGCAACTTGGGAAGTTCCCCTTATTAGTTCCTTTCTGCTAAACGCGTTCCAATTGGGAAGCAAAAATGAGGTGTTTAGTACAATCTGTCACTAACATTACTAAAAACTGGCATTCTCCTTCCATCTTGAATTTGCAGGTACGTACAATTATTTAAACTTTTTTCAAAATAAGGAGTAAAGTACAATTACAAGCATCAAACCCTTTGCACAGTTTTTTTATCTTTGTTTTAAAACGAATTTTTTTTACCTACCATGATTTACATTATAAGACATCTCATAATTTTGGTAAATTTTCCTTCCAGACTTACCTTGGATGATGATGATTATTCGGCTCGCTAGTGGCGATTGAAATTTCATTATGGTTGAGGATAAGCCTTTCAACATTAGGGACATGATGATACGATTTTCCTCGAATCTCTTTTATTCCATTATTGGACATGTCGATAACTCGAAGCTCACTATGATTATTCATTGTTCCAAACACATTCCATGGAAGAGTACTAATTTTGTTACCAGAGAATATTAGCACCTGCTCGTAAATAAAAGAGAGGAAAGTTAACAGGGAGATGAAAAATGTACAAATTGCTATTACTTTAACAAAAACTCACTTGAAAATACAAAAATACTTAAATTTAATTAAAAATTTGCCAAACATGAAAAGAAAAGAAAAAACCACATAAATGTGCTCCCAAGAATCATGTGGCGAACATCTTTGATAAATGAATTGAACTGATTTAAGTAATGCTATCTTGATTAACAGTAGCAGACCTCATAAGACAAACATATTTTAAAAATTCTAAGAATATCTGAGGTGATTTTGTGTCAACTCAGCTGGCACTTCTTTGACGGATTCGCGGCAACCCAAGACTGATAGACCTAGGTCAGTCTGTTAGCAAGATGTTCTTTGGAATTTCCCGATCTGGCGATCCCCGATTTGCTGTTTCACTACTTTCCAAGCGTTTCCCTAATTTGCACTGCCCCATTGCATAGTTCTTCCCCGATCTCCTTGATTGGCATAAGACCAATGTAATCGGATCGGAGGAACAGCAGAGTGGAACAGCACATTGGGGGAATCTATTGGCAACGTGAACAGACCTCATCCCCGATTTATAGAGATTATCACACTCAACTTTCCTAACAGACTGACTTAGGTCTACCGACCTTGGGGACAACCCCTTGATAAAAGGTGAGATTCGAATTGACTACTTTTCTTATGGTGCCCTACGGAATAAAGAAGGAAATGGGTAAGATGATCTAGAAAAGATTGGAGAATCAAATAAGTACCTACCTGAGTTTCAGAGGGTAGGTTTTCCAAAATTTTGGCATCTGTAAAACCAGTATTAGTGCAGTTTACAATGTACTGATCATGCTTGCCATAGTAATCTTCTCGCCCACAAATACACTTTTGGGTAAAGTTTTGACAATTTTGGAGTAACGATGTGATAAGCGTTGGTAGAACAAGTGTCAAAATGAGGCCCGCCAATCGATGAACCATTGTTTGCCTGAAGAATGTTGGGGGATTAACTGAAAAAAAAGAAAGAAAACCATAGGAAATACTTTTAAAGGTTTTGATTTTTCAACATTACTTACCACAAAGTTCGGTTCTACATGAGTGTTTTATCAAAGTACTGGTGGACAAGAAATGAACACTTTTGGAAACTTGATTATCATTGTCATCCTCTAGTGTTCATTTCCTTGGTAAAATGACTTCACAAAATACTGACGGTAACTTCTTTAAATAATTGGACAGCTTAACTGCAACGCATGTTCAATATCTTTTTTCCTTATGTATTTAATTTTTTTAAAAGAAAATTAAACCTTAAAACTAACTTAATTTTTAAGTATGCCTTGAAACTTTTTGTGGCATTTTCTAAGATGTACTAAGTAACTAATTCGGTTAAAAAGGCCCATGCTGGACTTAGATAAGCCAATTTCAGTTGGAATTCTTCATTCTTTTTTTTACAGAATTGCATCATAAGTTTGGCCAGAGGACAATTTTTTTTTGTCCTGCCACCCAATGGTACTTGGCAAAATGCTCAGAACTTGCATATGAATCATTTCCATGGAAGTCACAATAAGATAGATGAGAAATCTAACGAGGAATCATTCAGACATTCTTTTCAGATAAGAAAATTACTATTATCTACTAGATACTTGCAGGTTTGCAAAATTTGATGGATTAAAATATCAGAGAAACAGCGAAAAGGCATGCTTAAATTTGTCGAGTGTCAGAAAACTAAATGATCGATTAAAAAGCAATTTTATACAAAGGTTTTAATGCCGATTGCACTATCTTATAAGGTATCTTTATTTATTGACAAGCTAACTGCCATTTAAGTAAAAGCTTCCGGCATGGTACTGCTACCATGCAAAATATGCACTTCTTCCATGGTTGAAATCTTTAGAAAAAAGCTTGATATGTGATAGACATCAGCGCTAGAAAATTTGAAAAGGATGTGAGAATAGGTAAAAAACTGATTTTAAATAACCCTATTCCTGCAGCAAGCTTTAAAATTCGGCAAGCAGTATCCAAGGCAATTAATGAGGTTGACCTCCTGGAAACAACTTATTGAAATTTTTTACCGTAGTATGTTCATTTTGTATTTATTGAGGAATCTGCATTATGGTTGCTATGGTGCCATTAGGGGTTGCAGAGACATTGATGCTCTACCATCAACTATAAATTCTTTATGCAAGCTGATGTTAGGTCGTTGCTAACAAAAATAGAGAGGCCGTAACTACGATTCGGTGATGTCATGCTAGTAGATAAAATTCGACCGTGATTTAACATGTGTTCTTATGGGAGAATGTATGACACATGTTCTTTTTGTGCCAATATCTTTTCAGGGGTTGATCTGATGCAAAAATTCATAAGAACCTTTTCGAAAGAAGATAAAATTTCACTTAAGAAAACTGCTTCGATCATAAGTTACATTGTCTGATAATTGAGGAAATAAAAGCAAAACACTACTAATTACCGAAAATCGTTACTTCACTGAGATTAAAATGCGCCGCTCATGCAACTTCGGCCGATCGACAGCGGCTCTGATTGGTTAACACGGCAATCACTCTACTAGTTTGACGTCACGAAACTGAGTAGTTACAGCCTCTCCATTCTCGTGGGCAACGTTTAGGTCCATCAGCTAACCGCTCAAAAGTTGCAAAAAGATAGTTGAAAGTAAACATATAGAATACATGGCACCTTGCGATGTTAATATTAAACCTATGTGCAAGTGAGTACGCAGAAGAATCTTTATTCACTTTATCAATTGACTAGTATGGTCCCCAGAAAATTTGATCAACTTGCAACAGTGTCATTAAGGAGCAATAATTTAAAAAGCTGTGGTGGACGGCCATCAATTTTGCATAAAGGAAATGAGCCATGAAAACTTGGTTTGTCAGGACATGCCTCGCAAATGGGTCATTCAACAGGATGTCATCAAATCTCTCTGTGCCAAACAAGATTCATTTGAAGGGTATATCAGTAAATTAACCGATGATTGACAGGTTTTTAAAAGCAGTGGTTGAAAGTTACTCACAGATGTGCAAGATTAATATTGAATAGTTGATGGGCACACAAACGTAGTTGGGTGGAGAGACAATTGCAGGAGTTCTTAACCTCAGAAAATGTAATGTAAACAAAACGAAATAAGCACGCAAGGATGTGCAAATAAGTAAGTGCCAAGTTAGCAATAATTTAACAAATTTTTAGTTTATAAACAAATATTTATATTGTTTAATTGGCAACGTGGCATTCCAAATAACCAACATAATTGAAGACGTATTACTAACATTTACAACATCTGCTCTGTTCCAAGTCGGATTGAATGATCGAATGTAAGATGATTTGTGTGCAAAAATCCGTATTTAACACTGAGCAATCGACTCGAATCATTCTTCATTCATCAATATTGCCAAATTTTCTAATATTAAAACCTTATCTCTGGTCAAAACGTCTATGAACGTGAGGGAACAGTTGTTAAAACTGTTACAAAATTTGGAAGTTACTGATGGCGCGAAATTTCGAAAACGCGTAATGAGTCCCACTTGGTCACCTCGGGTATATCTTGATTTCAGACATGTGTTCATCTTCATCATCAAATTATATCCAACCTGATTCGAATTAACAAGCTCAAAGTGAAATAATTTCGTCGCATTTACTGTTTCTTCGTCTATATCTCTCGCACTCGGTGATCAGACGCGGCATGTCAATGGGACACCTGACCCACTCACTCACACTCCAAAGTATGGATTCGGGCTCGTATTTTTTGCCGCGGAGGTGGTGCGAATTTTTGACGGTCCAAACGCTGTTTTGTAGTCTATCTCTCTCGCATTTGTGGATCAGGTGCGGCATTCTTTAATTGGCTCGTCAAAGGGACATCTGGCGTACACACGCACTCGCAGAAATACAGGCTCGGGCCCGTAAATGTGTTGACTGCTCTAGTGATTGACTCTTACGACGCTGATAACCGCGTCTGTTGCACATAATCCTTTTTTTTTAATTTTTATATTTATAATTGTTGGTCTGGGATATGACTACTAAAAGAAGTCAAATTCTAATTTTTGAAATTTTACTCTTAAAAAAATTTCCAGAAGAGCAGCCCAAAATTTTTCCTGCGATGATTTGATTTCAGAGATCTCTCAAAGAGGGCCCTTGATTGCCTCTAAATTGCTGATGGAGTCCCCTATTTGAATTGTCTCTGAATACGACGGTGAAACTGCAGGACTGCATAACTCGTTTTTGTTGTTTCAAATGTCTGCTCCCATGTTGTTTTATCCAAAGAGAACAAACTTGAAAACTATAGCTTAAAATTTTCACAGAGCTCTCTTCACACAGAGAAGAAAAAGTTTTGGAGGTTTGAAAAAAATAATGTTGAAAATTTTTCCACTTAAAAAAATAAAGTATGGCAGGAAGTTTGTGATGTTCCAAGCCGATATACGCATTCCTGCAGTTTCATAGTCGAATTGTAAAACTGTTAATTTTTTGCACTAGTAATGAAGGAGATTCCTTGAAGTTTTCGCAGAATTTTTGTCTCATAGAGAAGAAAAATCCCGCCAGTTTCTGAGGATTATTGCTGTTGGGTAGTATTCTGTGTAAAAAATTAAGCATGACAGGAAGTCTGCAACGTCCCAAACTAAGTTATGAGGTTGCAGACTCACACCATCGATTTACTTCCTACTTCAAACAGCTTTAAAAAGGAAAAAATGAGTAAAAACGCATTGGAAATAGCACAATACAGTCTTATCTTATTATTAATATAAATTACAGTCAGTTTAAATTGAGAAAAAAATAAATTAACAAATTTCAAATACAATCGATTGGATTGAAGATTAACATAAATTTGATATCACGTTCAATTTTAAGTATTTACATCGCATGCTATTTACAAACAGTTTGACGATTTTTGTTCTTTTAAATACATGGATTTTGTGCTCTGCAACCGCCTGCACTTTTGCAGATGCAAGAATTAAGAAGATAGTTTGAGAAGAAGTACCTATGTAAGTAAGTAAAACCCTTGAAATTTCGATCGTTGATTTTGATGGAAGGATGCTACATAAAATTGTTACAGTTCTCACGATAAGACCATACAGTTTCACAGTAGGGTTACAAATATGTTTTCGTAGAATCTAATTATACCTTTGCATCTTAACATAATCTCATATTCATGCAGAGCATAATTGTATTCTCGTTTCACTGACCTGAAGTGATATTATAATACTACAGTGACCATTGTAGTTCAGTCTCATTGTTCTAAAGTTCAATGGGTGGTTTCAAAGGGAAGATGGAGTATTGATTCCCTTCTTCAGATTTGATCTGGTTTTGCAAGGAGGAAATTAAAGAAATTGATGCCAGATAGACATATATCTGATAAAAACACAACTACGTAGAAATGAATTGAATCAAAGGGAGCTATTTTCATAGAACTTGCGTAATTCACAGTTATTTCTGAACTTGCTGATTGATTCTTTCTACCATGTACGTCCAACTGTTGTTAATTAAGATGCCGATTCTTAAAGTTCATCCGTGTTGAACACGCTGTGGTGGCTTAGGCGCAGTGCTTGTTACTATTCCAAGTTTGATCTCGACCACTGACACTTGTCCAGAATGTTTTAGTATTCGAGTTTTTTCTTTCTTCATGATTTCTGTACCTTAATAAAGTATGCAATGGATCAAACTTCTTACATCTCTTCAGCAATCCTCTCTTTACTGATTTCCACGACAATGGTGGTCCTGTTGCATTTTGCTGAGAGAGTGAGTGCAACTGAATTTCAAGTATGTAAAGAAAATAATGGTCACAGAAAGCCTAAAATGTCATGACAATATGCTATTACCTGAAGGTTCTTAACTGCTTGAAAGCAATTTTCTTTGGTGGAATTAGCAACTTGAGGGGTAAGAGGAATTAATTGACTACAATACGGGTATTACATTGACTACACAAACGAAAGGAAACTGGAAATAAAAATGGAACTGAAAGAAAACGAAGTGCCGAACTTTAAGCTGATAAATTGAGGGAGGGGGTGGAGGTACCCAGAGGACAATACAGAAAATTAAAACTTCAAAGAATTAATAATTAATACACTCACAAAAGTATGAAAGAAATGAACCATACTGTGAAACCCTAAGGTTTTCCAGCATATTATTGACAAGAACAAAATTTCGATCTACGTCACCTTTTGAGGACGACAAGTACTCTGTGGATTTCTTATTTTAAAAAACCTTTCACATATCAGGGCAAGTGTTAAGGAAGATTTCAGAAGTGTGTCTAACATTTGCAATTATGCGACAAATAGAATCTTGACCAAGTATACATCATGTCAGGTTTTCAACGTCAGATCAAGTTTAGGAGAGTTCAAGGAGTAAATATCCTACAAACAGAAACCGTTTTTGACGCACTGTTGAGATATAAAAACAGTGAGTTTTATGTGTGCAACGTCCACTTAATTTAGTATAAAACTAAATTTTCTCATGATGATTTCTCATGAAGAGAAACAGCTCAGTTGAGTAAAATAATCCCTTCGAGAAAAATGTTGTTTGTAACAAATGTTCCACCGAACGGGATAACTCTGAGAGAGGAAGCATCAATGAGATTCTTCCCTTATTCTTGGCAGATTTTTTTTACTTTCATATTGCAATTAAAGTATGGTATGTAGTGAATACATCATCTTCCTGAATGAGAATATTGAGCAAACAAATGATTTCTCCGAGAAACCTATGAAGTGGTCTCGCAAATTTGAAACCATTAATCTGTGGGTTTTGTAATGACAATGGCTAAGCAAGAAGCTTTCAAACCCTGAGCAAATCATAAATGCAACAGAGATTAATTTTTTTAAGTTGAAATTAATATCAAAGTTTACATCTTTATGCATGCTACTTACATATAAACCTTGAAAGTATTTTACAAAAAATGGCAGCAATGGCTTGTATTAAAAAGACCTACGATAGAACAAACCAATATAGTATGCAGAATGTGGATGACCAAAAAGAAATAAAAATTAAACATAAGTTAATAACAATAATACATGCATTAAACAAGGAACAAAAAATTGTTTGTGAAGTGTATGAAAGGAACAATAATTAGATAATCTTAGCAACAAATAAAGGCTGCAAATCTAAACCTTTTCTTTTCAATCTCTTGATATTTTGGAGCCGATAGCAAGTGTCTTTCAAAACTTTGAACAACTGTCTTAGAAGTTCCTCACCTTGGGTTTCATTTGGTTTCTAGGAATGAAAGCTTTAAATTTTAAAATAATTTGGTTTGAATATAGTTTACATTAGAGCCAAAGTGCTTGGAATGTTTCCTGAGGGGAGAGCATTCTGGAGAAGAAAGCAAAAATTAAGATAGGATCTGTGACCAAGGTGGTTAAAATGTCTTAGGAGAAGTAATAATACTGCAAATAGAAAATTTAAAAATAACGCACAGTATTTTTTGACAAACTCAACAGAGCTAAGGAAGAAAGCAATGAAGTTATTGTTTAAAAATGTTTAGCTGATACTGCTATAATTCATTCAATACCAAAACTCATTGATTTTACAACTCGTAATATGTTGATAACAATCAGTAGACTGCATAAAACGTCAAAATTACTTCATTCACAACACCACGAAACAATCCTTACTTAAAACTTGCTTAAAATAACACTCATAGAAAAATTTTCTGTTGAATTCTTTTCTCTATTGGGTGTTCTTAATCTTTCTTTTATTTTACCATGCATTAACATTATTCGTACTTTGTCTTTAATTTCTATTAATATTTTCAAAATGAGTTTTGAAACAGTTTGCTGATAGTTAGTTCAGAACTTCACCCCTTGTGAAGTTCGAAAAGTGAAATTGTATGTTGGATAGAATCATATAGAACATGGATAGAACATATTAAGAACATCAAAGGATCAAGAAAATTCAAAATACTCTTGCTCGAAAACCCTACTATTAAAGTTTTTACCCACTCATTTTGTGTCTTGATTTGAGGCGTTTGTTGGTCTTTTCTTGTCTCTCTAACTTTTCAGGCAAATACTTACTTAGGAAAACAAAAGGGCTGCTCAAGCAACAAAATATCGGAGAGTTTGGTAAATTCTTGGAATTTTTCAAAATTGAATTCTGATGTACTCTATGTATTGAATATTTAACATTTTTCCAAGTCACAAGAGTACTTTAAAGAAGGTTCATACAGCTTTGTCAATCAGATGAAACAAGCACGTAGAGATCTGGTAATTTTAAAAAATTACTTATACTGAAAGAGTGTTTATTTCATAATGGACACAAGTCATTCTTTAAGATTGGTCGTGGTTTTTTCTTNGGGGGGGGGGGGGGGGACAACTGATCTGTGAATAAAAAAACCTTGATTTAAAAACTCTCCATAAATACAGAATATTTTTACCATTTAGCTACCACATTGCTCCCTGGTACTAATACCCTATACTATCACAAATCAAGAGATCAATTAAAAAGTAAAAAAATGACAATGCATAATTTAGAAGTCTTCCCAAATTTCAACCATTTGGTTGGTAATGGAATGTTCAAAGAAGAAATTGGAAAAAAGGGTATCAACGATTGCATGCTCAGTTTCTCGGAAATTCCTGGCTCTATTTTTCACCTCACTGGTAGGCGAGTAGGTATTATCTTCATTGCTACATTTCCCCACTGCGTGCACCAAGCTATGGAACTGTGTTGGGCCAACTCTGTGGTGCAATTAAATTGTAGGTGTGCAGTGACAAAAGATAAGCATGTAAGTTTTTGTTGGCCTATTATGGAAGTACGATTTGCTCATGAAATCAATGAGAATACATTTTCAGAGGATTTTGAGATTAATTGATGATTATTTAAGATAGTTAGTTTGACTGAATTAACTTAGTACACTGAATTATCTTGACAAAAACTCAGCTTCCTGAGGTGTCAGACAGTGGCTTTGATTTGTAGTGGCTATGGCATATCTTATGTTTTCTCTAATACTCTTGAATAAATAATAAACCAGCTCAACTGACAGACCATTAAAACAAAATATCCGACTATCAAAGATTAAAGCATAGTACAACTTAACATAAAAATGCACCTCTGATGCATAAACTTAATTTATTTAATGCAGCAAAGATAGAAACCGCTGGCAGGTAATGACTGCCCATTTTCCATCCCACAAAGAGACATTCTGCTATTTAAGGAGAATCCACCTAACAGTTCCAACTCTGCTCATTCTCACCACAGGTGATCAGCTCTTGATCAAAACCTTTCAGAAAATGATTGAAAAAATTGATTTCAGTACTCTCCAAAATGAAAAAATGAATGATAATATGTTTGTACTGGCAACAATTGTCTCAACCAGCAAAGGCAGAAATAGTCACACACTGTCACAGGCACTTTATCAAAAATTAGGGAATTTTGGTATTACATAAACTTTTCTAGGATGCGTTTGAATAATGCACATATTTGAATTAGCTTAGGTTTTTCTGATGTCAGATTTCAAGCCTCCAAGAGAAATAAATAATGATAACAAGAAACATCAAGACATGAAAACTGAACTCGAAGTCACAGCACTATGAAACTGAGCCCAATCAAAGGTCAACTTTTTAAAACTCTTCAGGCAGACAAAAAGCATTTGCTTTGCAGGCTTACGGCCCGGATGGACCGTAGGCTACACATATGTCATACCAGGTGGTCTTCTTGCTTAAGATTTATATTTTGGGATGCGCAGAAATCCCTTGTGAGTGGTAGGCAATTTAAGTAAGAGCAGAGCTCGCAGTCGTAAACAGGAATAAAATAAAAGAGAAGAACAAGCAAGATGAAGAGAGAGAGGCAGGAGAGGAGGCAGACCCAGATGAGGAAGATTTTCTTATGACGGTCATACGGGCCAAATGATAGAAAAGGAAGAAGAGCGTATGAAAGAAGAAAACCAAACGCAAAACCGAACAGATGTGCAAAGTTATCAACCCATGGAAGCAGTCCAAAGATGAAAAGGATTAATGTGATGGCCAATAATTTCATGAGCGCCTGTTCGGGGCTACGTAGCATTGGCCAACTATTGAGAACTTCTACTATCAGGCATGCAAGAAGACCAAATTGAGCGCCTGCAGGTCCCACCTGAAACAAAGAGAATGATAATTAAACAACAGCATGCCAAAATCAAGAATTATGTTTTACCATACGGAAAGCATATCGAAAAGTTGTTCTTAATTTATCACAGATGAAAGAGGATGGGTGGACTCCACGATGAATTTTCCTGAATATAAAGTGAGTAGGGGGAGACAGGAGGAGGAAAAAATAGCAAAAAAATGAAAGTGGAGATAAGAGGTTGGGCCATCTTCTATTACGGTTAGTTATGCTTATATTCTGAAACAAACAAAGCAAAAAAAGTACCTGGATCCATGGTCTCTGTTTGATGAAGGCTGCGGGCTGATTATTGAAACTGACAGACAAAGCAACAGACAAAGAAGACATAGGGTGTATGGAGTGATCCTATGGGTTGAAATGAGTGGTTCTTATAGACAAAGGGATAAAATGATGGACTAACTATCGGGTCTCTCGTGGGTTGCCATTAGTTAGTCTATTACCTACCTCCTTTGTCCATTGCAACTACAAGCTTCCACCAATAGGATTCCTCCATATCTCTCTTATCTTTTTTGTCTATTGCTTTGTCGATCAATTGCAATAATCGGCTCGTTGACTGGAGGGCTGGAATCAATCTAAGAGCCAGCTCAAAAGTGATAATTTGAAGCGACCTTTATTCCCTCACTTTCGAAGGCGTATTAGAATTTCCAGCTTTTTATCTGCACGTGATCCTCTCAGGATTGAAGCTTAATTTCTTTACATTAAAATTGCCTTCCGGGTGCTAATTTGATATTGAACTGCTGCTTTTGTCAAGATCAGGGATACGGAATGGACAGGGAATACACAAATTTGAACTGAAATAAAGAGGATACTCACATCTGCTCGATATGGGACAAAGATGGCACTTGCTAAATTGCCCCCAACACCTGAGCCTATATAGATTATGGCAATTCGCAAAGCACCAGTAAGTTTCTCCAAATCTCTCATGAGGAAGTATTGTACTACTACAGTAATGGCTAAATGCATCACACTGAAAAAAAAGAAAAAAAGAATCATGAAGTTTAGTTACTAGATGCTACAGACAACAACCTTAGTTGCTGATTACGTTTGAAATAAGAAAAAGCAGAAGGGGACTGATCCCCTTTAATGATGTCAAATGGAGCCCCAGTAGGTCTTCCTATGAGTGACGTCGCGTGCTTTGCGATATATCGATTGATCAGCCATTTAAACCTCTTGTAAAGAATCGATAAACACGGTGTTTGTAACGAACACCTTAATAATTGATTCTTTAGTATAGCTTCAAATGGGGAAATATTGATAATCCATTGTTCACGCCACGCCACGCCACTGCTACCTATGAAGGAACTTGGGGGAAGTTGCTTCTCAGTCCAAAGGGAGGATGAGAAGAAAATAAATTTTCTGATAAAATCATTTCTTTTTTCGATTCTTGCTTTTTATTGGGATGAAAAAAGAACCTTATTAAGTTTCAAGCGTATCCTGCAAGATCAAGGAATTATACATTTGAGGATTATGGTTGGTTATTTTCTACCCAACTCGGTTCAACTGTCCACTTGGAGACTAGTAAAATCTAGAAAAAAATGAGCGTCTGAAAAAATCAGAGGGTAATGACCGCAAATGTGACAACTCACCCAGCATGTAAAAATAAAGAAGTCCATAGCCTATAAAACTGATCAGGAACTTCGGGGAAAAAGAATGGCATCATTCCACACACGTTGTCTAAACATGACACCTGGAAACCAGAATCAGAGTTAATAAATTACACACTAAATAAATAGAATACCGATTAGTAACAGAGACAAACTCTCATTACGAAGGAGAACACAGTAATTGAGGAATTCTTTTTCTTTCCCTCTCTTTTCCTCCTGTCCTTGGTTCCAAGGGATGATTTTTAATAACAGACTAACAGATTTACCATTGGGTCCAATCAGGCAAACTCATATTTTTGACGCAGTACAATATTTAATATTTATGCAAATTTACCTGAGAACATAGAGAGGCATCATCATGGAAGTAGCCATGAACAAAATCGCAATATTCCCGGGTGGTGATGCGGCACATGCCATGGATGCCAATGCAACAAGGGTGGCCAATGATTTCACAAATCATGTGCTCAGCTGTCATTTTGTCCTTGTTCGCCAAGTTTGCCAAGTCCATGTGGTGATAATGAGAGTGATGTTGTGTTGTTTTACGGCAAATAGGCCATTTAGTAATATCATCTGGCCACTCATATGGTGCAATAGATGCTGGGGCCTCACAGTACCTAAAAAAAAAAACATGCTAGAGTCTTCAAAAAATCAAGAGCATCAGAAGAATATTTACATTCTGGTCCTCACGATTTAAGAAACTGATACCAATGGTGTGAGGAGGAGGAAATGTAAAATTTGACTCCTCAAAACCATTCATAACTTGGAAAATTTGAAGAAACTTCAATAATTTACCATCACAAATTTTATAAAAAACGATTAAACAGAGAAACAATAAACGCTGAAAGAAATAAATTGAAATGAAGCCAAACGAACTTATGACACCAACAATTTCCGGAGTAGTTGAATGCCATTCTCGAGTTAATTTTTTGTTAAACTTGGGTTGTGTTGATACTTTGCTCTGTGTGCAATTTAGTGTTGAATTACAGTGATGAATTTTTTTTATGATGTCTATTTTCTATTCTATCCTACATAATTAAATCAAGAAAAGAGCAGTGACTAGGCTAAATCCTTTCACCAGTGATATAAGGTAGCTTGATACCTTGAGTAAGGCTGACTTTTTGGGTCCAACCAAGCTCAAATGGTTCTCTGAGGATAATGTAGATAAACTCTACCTCGAAGAAGAAGAGAATAACAATGATAACAAGAGAGTAAAAATCGGCCTTAAAGTGCATTAACTGCCTTGCTGAAGATTTGGTGAAAATTACAGAAGGTCACATCTGCAACAGTATCACATGATACTGCTCATAAAATACATTTAAATCGTAAGAAAAAAAGGCAAAATTTGCGGCAGCAAAACAATGGATAGACAAGTAGAAAAGCGAGGAAGTCGAAAGAGTCTGCTGATTTCAAAAAGCAATAGAAAGGTTCGACTTAAAGGTAGAACCTAGGAATAGATTAAGCCGCATAGTCAATACAAGAAATCAAAATACTAGTGTATTGAATTAAAACGTGAGATAAAAATTTGATCCGAGAGTTACATTCAACTACACTTACTTAGGATCTAAACCGCAGACTGACCCTGATAGTCGTCCGTTTGGGCCTGTCTCATTGCTGGACCATTTTTTCCATGTTGAGATGGTGCTCTGCAAAAATAAAAATTCAATAAGAAAATGACTTGTTGCTAAACCAGAGGCACTTTGAGAGACATTGTTATTTTCCAAAGACTTCTGAGCATAAGGCTAAGTGTGCAACATTAATATTATGTATTCTTGGGGAGAATTTTTGTAAGAGCAGCTCGGAAAGCTCGCAAATTTTCTTGCACTAGAAGAACTGTGAGACACAATTTTTCTGGAATAGGACAACATGGTGCAAGAGCTTCTCCGACTTAAACGTTCTTCCAAAATTAACATTCTTATAGATCTTCCTTTTTATCAAAAATTTAAAATGGAGTTGGATTCAAGGGTAAAATAATCGAATTTGAATTTAGACCAAAGACAGGAAAACAGGTTGCATCATAGAAAGGCAGCTTTCAAATCCTCCACTAGTTGACTGTTTCATAAAACAGTTTAAGAAATGGCAATTTACATTTTTAAATGAAAAAATCAATTTTCTGCCTGAATTCAAAATAAAAATACCTAGCAAATTCTCAGTTACATAAATATTTAGAAAAAATTAAGGTATAGGAATTTTATTACTATGGCACGGGGAAAAAATATGTAACAGGGAACTATGAGGAAGGGTTGCATATTGAATTAAATGAACCAGATTAAAAATAATAATTTTGGATTAAGTACAGCAATTTCATTAATATGACATAAGGCAAAAAAATATGACATGGTGATCTGAGGGGAAGCAGATACATTTGGGTAAAAAAGAAAAAAATCTACAAATAAAAATCACTCAACATGCATTTCACTAGGGAGAAAATTTCTGTGAAAAACTCAAATTTGAGACACATACTGGAAACGTAGAACAAGAAAATGACTACGTCTGACTAGAGGAGAAACATACCATTGGTTCCGATCCAGAAATTAGAGAATTGCGTGAGGGTATTAGAAACAACAGAACAAAAACAAACCACGGTCAATGTATCATTCTTAGTAAATTATTGTAACTCTTTTATTAGAAGACAACCAAAACACTGCTAGAGTAGGGGTGAATATATTTCCACAATTTTTTAAAATGATCAATACGCTGAGATTTTTGATAGGTTGGATACCTAAAGTATTTGAATGGGAGTAAAACACACATTATAGATATTCCTGCAGCCCGACCACAGACTTTGACTTCCATCGATATTGATAGAACTCAGTTCCATTCCAATGGAATACCCCATTGGAATGGAACTGAGTTCTGTCAATATCGATGGAAGTCAAAAATCTATGGTCGGGCTGCGGGTTAACACTGTGACACTTCATACTTTTAAAAGAAGCTTCTTGAGGAGCTATGTAAGTTACAAATACTTGGGGGGTTTGATGTGTACTTCCACTTTACGGCTCTTTGTTATTTTCCCCTTTTCAGGGTCTTAGTTTTACAGGTGCGAACAAGACTTCATGATAGAACATGAAAGGATTTCATGAGTTACTTTCATTTTTAGATTTATTTTAATTACTAATACTAAATATTGGCTGAAAAAGACAGGAGTAGAGGCATAATACAAAATATTATGATGCAAGCAGGCTCATACCTCAACTGGCCAGTCAAGTTGCTAAAGTCGGCATTGGGGATTCAGTTCTGGAGGACCCACTAAAAACGTTTGCTCTTAGTTAAAACAGGCCAAAAGCATGGTATGATAGATGCAATAAAATGTTTTTCTTCTTCCTCATCAAAATATGGGCGAAACAACTTTGTAAGGGACTTCGCTAGAAAGTAGGCGCCATTTATAAATCCCATCACACTGATATGTAAAATTATAAACCCTCCTGCCCTCTTTTCTAGTACCTTTAAAACAGTTTTAAAGCCTTTCCTGAAAATTATATTACCCTTCCCTAAATATCCCCACCTCCTTTTAAGAGGAAAAATTTGCTTCCTTCATGGGTTTACAAATTTAAAATTCACATTCATTTTTGCAAGACATGATATGAGATAACACCCTCCTACTGCGTGGAACAATTTATGAACAGTCCCAATATGAGCTCAAACAAGACATGAAAATAATGCTACCTTGGCGTATTTTTTTTGTTTCGGGGCATTGTCTTACGCCAATTGAGCAAATTTTTGAAGAGAAGTTTTCAGCTGAAAAATTTGAAACATAATAAGAATAGAAAATTTTGAGTTTTTGAAGTACTTACTGAACAATCACTACGCGAGGACTGGACACAGCCTGAGTCATCATTGTGAATACAGCATGCAGTATCTCTCTCTTTTTCCCTTCTTTTCTCGATGTCTTTCAGGATTTTGGCATCTTTCCGCATGCATGGAGCAAACTTGGCTCCCATGTGTATAAGATCAGCCTAAAAAAATGACTTTCATAAAAATGTCGATCAAGCAAAGAAGCATATCCCTAAAATTTGGACAAATTTGTGTCATGTGAGATATTCTTCTGTTAACCTCCAATTGTAACTTATGGGAGCCTCGAGTAAGCATTTAAAATTTCAGTATAGGGACCATTCAAGAATTACGTAGCGTACTTTTTCCGATTTTTTNCCTTTTTTGAAGTACGTATCACTGGCCTGCCCCCCCCCCTTTTTTAGGAAAAGTCAAGAAAACACTGGAAAAACAGTTTGAAAAAAAATTGGGTTTTTTCTTTGAGATAGTTCGCTGAAATACAACAGGAGGAGATCAATAAAGTGTGGAAATATAGATTAGATTTGTTTAACTCATAATTTTACCGGAAAAGTGCGCTTTGACAATTTTGGATAAGTTAACCATTGCAATAATAATATTGAAATAAAACGAGGAAAAGATAAAATTTTTAATTGGCTTACATTTTTGTCAAATTTATAGACAAAAAGATGTAACGGAATTCAAGCCAATAAAACATTGTTAATCATAAAATCACGCACCAAAAAGATTCATTCGGGAGCGGCAGGATTTTCAGTTTTTTGTATGTTTTGTTCAAAGTTCTTTTTCCCTTCGACTCGTATTATTATATTATACTCGTATGTTACATATTGCTGGGTTGAACCCCCCTCCCCCTTGTTACGCACTATAATGCTGGCTCAAACCCCCTTGCTGCCCAAAAAGCATTGCGTAACTTTTGAATAGCCCTTTAGCGGTTTAGTTCAACTTTTTAGAGGATGAGGTTGGGCTATTAGAATTGTAATTTTTTTTACAATATCAAATTCAAACTCAAACCTATCAGGTTTGAAATTTTGAGACCATTAGCTATGATCAAATATTAAATACCAATCTTGGAGAAAATATAAAAATTATTTGACACTTGGCAAGGTAAAAAGTTCCTCTTCAATAAATGTTTGTTTTCTCTTATTTCGATCATGAACTTTGCATCTAAATTTCCTGCATTCCAAGACTCATACATACTAACAAAATTTTTATTTACACACTGGCTAGAGGTTTGTATAAGTAGTTAGTAGGCAATGTGTAAGAATTAAGTTATTACCGCTCTTGGTCCGATCCAGAAATTGGCAGGTTCCACAAACTCTACTTGTTGTAGTGATAGACTTGTGACTAGCACCTGCAACAGAGAAAATTGAGCTCTTGACTGAATGTATAATAAACTTGCTTTTCCAGGCGCACAATGTGAATCTCCTCAGTCAGTCAAAGGACTCCCACCCTTAGGGCTCACAGGGGTAAAATGCATTACGTTTGACACTAGATTTGCTTTGCAAACCACGCTTGGTGGACAGTCTTGAAATTATCCAGGAAACATACATTTAAAGAATAATTATAACATACTAAAGTGATTGAGACTGGGTACAAAAGATTTGAAAACTTTTTAATTTGGCCGCTGGTTTGACTGAACATTCTTAGCAAAGTACGTATTTGTTGTAATACATAAAAAAAAGTCCAAATCTCATACACAAAGTTCTTCAGGTCACTATTGTTTACAGATTCGTGAAGCAGAGGCAAAATTAGCCCAAGAGAGTCCCATAAAGATAGTTGTCAACCATGGAGGTTCTGATTTTTGTCATGGAGAAAATTTCTTGACTTTCATTGGTGCAAAAAATCAGAGTAATTGCTGAGAAGTGAGACCTAAACTCAAATCTTACAAGTATTGAGATGGCGACATGAGAAAATTTTCTAATGTAAAGAAATAAGGGAAAAACGAAACAAAACAATGATACAGAAGACAGTGAGTCAATTAAGCTCAGAAGGGATTTGCCTGCAAATAGTCAAATCTTACGGATTTCGGTGCGAGAAGAACGATGCGCACGTTAAAATTTCACGAAAAATTGTCTCCGCGGAGATATGACACTTCCTCTTTAGGGGTCCTTGTAAACATGTTTAAACCGACCGCCGTGAATCTTCGAATCTACGCGCCATGGATGGGAAGATGGCAGTGACAAAGCCAGCCTGCTTACTACCGCCACGCTGCCGTTGTTGACATCTTGATTTCTCGCTTGAGGTTAAGTAAGTTCTGTGTGAATGTTTCATATCCTATATAAATCTGTATCACATTCTGATTGAAAAGCTTAAAGAATTAAGAACAATGGGTATAAATCTGAAACAAAGTAACCTCCAATTGACCAACAAAAACACACCGCCAACATGACGCCATCGTGTATTCTTCCACTACACGTTCCGCTGCCATATTGATCGTGATGTGTACATTCGAATCCTACGAGCGCGCAGTTCAAACGTTGTTATAGGCCACCCTAATTTTTGGCACTTTCAAATAAACTTTTCTCCAGTTTGCTGTCATCAAAAAAAAAATAGGAAAAAAACTGTAAGCTTCGGTCACTTACTACTTTCGAATGACACAATAAAAAAATGACTTTGCTGACTCATTGTGGATTCAATTCTCGACGTAGAGCCTGAGTGAGCAGGGATTACAAGTAACAAAAGCAGTGTAATATGTCCACTGTACAGGAACAAACAAAAGCAATAAAACAATTTACTGAAGATACGGATTAGGTTTGTACAGTAGTTGATTTGAGGAAAATCATCACAGTTTTTACCTGGCTTGAGCGATGTGCGATGTCGATGCCAATCGGGCCCAGACCATAACAAAATATGGAAAGGAATAGGATGATGATTTGGACGGTGGTAACCCAGTAGGTAAAAAAAGGTCGGTGGTCATCAAGATCATCCAGCTGTTCTCTAATACTATGTCGATTTATCACTGTTCTTTTTAAGGAGTGCCTGAATTAAACATAAATAACGTCATAAGAATTAAACCATGACAGGCACAAAAAAGATGTAACATTGAATTTACAAGAATCTACCCTGATCAGAGTTAGCAATTCGTTGAAATTATGCAGTTTCTATGCAAAAAAGGTATCAATACAATTTAAGATGAAATTAAAAAAACTTTTAGGCCATCAGAACAATTTTTCCGAGGTTATAGAATTAAAAGAGCAAGCACAGAATAATGACAACTAAGATATAAATACAATGGAAAAATCGAAAGTGCTTACCCAAAAAAATGCCCCACAACGCCCATTCCGTATTGTCGTTTCCCAGATGTCTCTAGTGCTTTGTCAAGAACTTGGCCCCAAACACCATCCACTTTCTCTCGGTCCTCGTTTTCGTCTTCCATGGACTTCTTCCACTTGACTACAGGCAACCTACAAAGAGTTTGGTCATCAGATTAGAAAAAGATGATATAGAAATTGAAGGTGAAGATTCTTCTACTGTACTTAAATACCACAACCGAAGCATAGAGTAAAGGGACTTTTAGCGTAAACCTCCTCTATCGTTTTTTGTGTCCCTCATCTTGCCTTTGCCCCATCAGCAGAAAAAAAAAACTCATTAGAAGTGTCGGCGAACTGGAGTGGCTATTTTTTACTTTTGCCTTCAATGGCAAGCAGTATATCGTCACTGAAACGGCAAAAATGCTTACCTCAATTGCAATATTTCAAAATATCTTTCCCTGTTTTATTTCTTCAGGGGAAGCCAAACCAACATCATAGCTCGAAATTCTCACAGAAGGTATATGAAGATTTCAGAAAATGATGTTTAGTGATCATCAATGTAGAAAATAAAGTATGACAGGAAGATTGCAATGTTGCAAACCAATATACGCACTCTGCAGTTTCACTTTTAATTTAAAATTTTTATGGCTTCAGCCTCCATTTGGTTAAAAAAATAAAAAAATTGAAAAAGAATGAAACCGAGCACAATTTATTTTTAATAAAATGGATATTCTTCAAATATTTTCTCTCTGATTGCCTAGCAAGACCAAATTAACTACTTCCTGATCACGCAGAGCACCACTATTTACATTACTGACTTTAAGATGAAAGGAGGGGAAGAACTCTTGCGAGTATACATGTATACCCTCCTGGAGCGTACAAACATTTTACTCTATCGTAAACCACCTAGGGGGAGGGGAGGAAGGGCAGTGGAAAAACAACTTTTGGCAGTTAGACATGGACAAGACTAAAGCAATTGAGGGATTGTATTGAGGTGAATACTGAGCTTAAGCCCGAAGAGTGCAAGTAGAGTGGAGGGTCTTTTCAAGTCCTCAAAATCAAGGAAAGTGCATGAAAACAAAAGTTACCTTCGTTTAGTTTTTGCAGGATGGTGGAATATAGGTGATTTTTGTTGTCCTTGCTTAGTTTTATTGTTGTAACTAGATGAATCGACTGTATCTGGAACTATGGGTTCTGTTGATCCATGAGTTGAGTCGAGAGGAGATTTTTTATTGAAGAAAATCTAAAAGAAAAGAGAGACGAAAAAAGGAGCAAAATATTAAACAACTTTTTTTCCATCAAAAATTGAAAATGACAAAAACAAAAGAAATCCCAATTTTAAACACCACTTGAAACTGTATTTCCTGTAATTATTACAAGCTTAACCAGTCAGCTTGTGTTGAAGATCTGGACTGGAAGGTGTCATTTGATTCCATGACTAACAACAAAGCAAATCGTTGCAATCTAATGTGAGTAAGATTCTGCAATACATGCTGAGATTGTGCATTTTTCTCATTTTTTCTCATCATATTCAATTTTTCATTTATCTCATCACGGACCAATGAATTTTAACAATTCAAAACACTATGGTTGCGACTACCATCTAACCACAAGGTAATTCGAACATTTTAAATAAGATCTGAATACCACTCATGGTTCTTTTTTTCACAATCTTGTCCTACAACTAATGTAGAATGAGGAGCAGGATCTGGGATGTGGCCATTTTATGTTACAACCATTTTTTTCTCTTTTTTTTGGAGGTTTTTGTGGGTATTCTGTGGTATGTATTGTAATATACTAAATCTGGAGACTTAAGATCTTCAAAATATTTTTGGGTTGATAAAGAATCTAAAAGAAAGAAAAATAAAGTCAGTAACCTGCTACCGCTGATAGAGAATCGCTTTTAAGGACCACAATACCTCCAAAAAATTAAAAATAAAATGATTCATTGGAGAATTGAGGGGGGGGGGTGGGGGTCAAAGTTGAAATTTTAAAACTTCTACAGCATTTTACCGTAAAACACCCTGAAAGAGGCGAGACTTTGCCCAAACGTAAAAATATGGCTACATGCCTGATTTCAAAGTTTATGATCACTCATCCTGTACCCTTTTCCAGACAAGATAGAGAAAAAAAGACTAGGGGTGGTTAAAATATTTAAACCACACCATGGGACTTTGTCAATTTCCTACAAAATTTAATTTAAACAGTCAATTAATTTAACAGTCATTCATTAATAATAATGTTGAAGTTTTCCCGTTATCACTTTCACTTTCTCTTCACTCACACGCTTACTCCCTCTAGCAGGAGATATTCAAGATTGTCAAGGTTAAATTTAAGAAAATTTTACCTAAATATTTCAGGGTTAATTATCAAGAGATGATTTTTAGAATAAAGAAACTTAAAAAATACTTACCTCGTCATTAACTGATGAGGGTGAGTGAGGCCCAGGTGATGTTGGAGATGTATGAGTGGAAGTTTGCTCAGTCGTAGAGCTACCACTTGCTTTCCTTCTTTGCCTGTTTAGGGTCTGAAATATCAAAGGTTACAAAAACAGGTTATTAAAAGGTAAATTATGCAATACTACAGGAAGATCGATGAATGATACGAAACACTTATCAATTAACAACAAGGTTAAGTAAGTGCCGAAAACTTGATTTAAAGTTATTCATATTTTTTCCCCTGTAAACTGCTGCAGGACATACCACCAACGCTATCTTCCGGACAATATACGCACTACTCTGTTGCCGGTGGCACTAAGCCTGTTACGCAGTATGTTCTCTTTTGCACTTAGAACAAAATGCCTAGCGTCTGCCTGACTCAATTTTCGATTTTCTAACACTTAGGTTATTAATAAGAGGTTACTGATAAGTCTTCATATGCTGACCATTAAATTTTAAAAAGATTTTTCGTTGCTCAAGTGATATAATTGGTTTAACAGGTTGGTGAGCTTTCTTCCCATCTTCTGCAAGATGTTTTGGATTTTGGAGGCTTTGAATGATATTAGCGTCACTTATGATATACAGCATGGAGATGGCTTCAAAGAATTCTGTTACAGAGGAAAGTAAGCAAGTCAGGAAGGAAACTAAATAGAGAGTTATTATACACAGCAAGAGCAGACTGTCGACTGTCAACTGTTTACCTAACTTTCAAAGGCTATGGGGAATGTTTTTTCTGGATGTTGTTGATGTTAGTGACTTGAAATTATCTTCATTACATATTTCCTGAGTTAATGAGAAATTTCTAGAGTGGATTTTTTACACCCTGAGAGGGAATCCGTATTGTTGTCTCTTGGATTTATGAAATCCAGGAGATGTATGGGGATTTTAATTTTGGAATGGTAATAATAATAAAATGATACTTACTGAAACTACATATGCTACACCATTAAAAGTTAATTTTGCAACAGAGGGCTTTCGCCGCAATGTTGTACTTCCTAGATTGTTGGCATCGACAGTATCATTCTCATTAAATTGTTCCCCTGTTCCAGCCAATAATACATCCGGCTAAAACAAACAAGACATGCTATAAAATTCAAAAGATTGATAAAAGAAGAAAAAAGGGTTTTAATAAAAAATTGTGTTCTTTTATCTTGACTGACTTTTATCTTATCTTTACTTTTATCAATTTGATCAGGCATCTATCTGTCCTTCACAGGAGGGCAGAGATTTCTTGGCTTTCCAGTTTTTCAGACTATCTTTACTATCCTAAAAACCCCTTCACTTTTAACTCCCCCCCCCCCCTGATTTTCACAGAGGGAAGTGACCGTTTTCTTGAGCTGCCATAATTTTGCGGAAATCATGTGATTTCAATGCTGGCGCAAGCGGGCTACCCATTTTCGAGACTTTATATAGCGGCATTTTTATTTTAAAAACCCATTTCTGAGGCCTCCTCATTCTAACATCCTGTCGGTCGCTTGGTTGAAAAGTTCTTGAACCTTAGGTCCTTTAGATACTTGGACGAAAAAATGTCTGCGAGGACAAAAAAGAAGGGTGGGGAGGTTTTTATTGCGTTTGGTAAAAATTAAGTTCCTCACAATTCCCCTTTAGTAACCACAAAATAAAAGGGAATTAAAAAATCATAAAATTCTACAGGGGCTTGGAAAAGCAAAGGTCAAATTACGATTTCTCGACTGAGAATATCATTATTTGTGGAAATCATTTGCAAGTTTTGCTTTATTTAAAAATAATTGTCTCTTGCTCTGTATCTTTGGGTATTGTGTAATAGACAACCCATGTGAAAAATACTATTGATAAGTCAGTTCAACTCCTCGATAAATATTGCTTCACGCAGACTGCAAAGAACTATAATTATGATGTTAAAAATGGTAACAAGAAATAAAAAGAAATTAATTTACCCTTGCAACTGAGATGTTTGATGGCTGATATTCTGAACGAAGTTGACCATACTTTCTGGCAGCAAGTCTTTTCCTCCTATCAAGCCACCGCAATCTTTCGCTTTCTTGCGATTGTTCTTCCACTCCAAAAAAAATTGCCGTTTCCTTTTTGATGAACCTGAAATCACAGCATACCCTTCTTTACAACTCTATGATGGACCCGCGAGAGTATTCTAAGACTACCCATGCTTCATCTGGAGTACAGCTCAACTCCTCGTTTATGTCCAAGGGGGCTCCACAGCTTTGACACAATACATTCTGGGTACAATTGATATAATTCAAATTTCGATCATTAGATGAAATATTTTGGAAAAATTGAAATTTCAGGGTCAAGATCTCAATATCATGAAGTGACATTTGTGTCAAAAATCATCTTCCAAAATTTTAAAATGAAGTCAAAAGTACTGCTTCCAATTTGCAACCGATTTCAATGCATCAATAGCAATGACTAATTTGAACCAGGACTTTTCACACTATCATGAGATTTTAGACAATGATTTTGGCTGAAAATTTCTCGATTGCTCAAGAGACAGAAATTTCCATTCTTTTAAAATAATGTACCGAATGGTTAAAATTTTCATTACAAAGATCATACCCCGAAATGCATTGCGCTAAAGCAGAGAATCTACTATGAAAACAAGGGTGAACTATCATATAGATCTTGCCATTTTTTTCCATCCTGGTACTTTCACCTCATTTTAAATTTAATTTGATCCTCATACACCATTAATAATCCACTTAAAATCATAATCCATCATAATCCACTTTCGGTTAAATTCTCATGATGAATGCTTTGGCACAGTTCTTGACTGGGCGGGAAGTTTGAACTTCAAACGCCAATTCACTCAGATTTGATTCTTTTTGGTTAGCTCAAACTAAGGGGCATGCCTGGACTCTTTGAGTGTGTCATGTCAAAGAGTGTTTTTTCAATTTTGGATGGTCAGTAACAAAAGAGCATACTTACCTTCATTTTACTTATTTTGGGTGCATAAAGTTGGGTGCATATTTAAATCAGTGTTGCTCCCTCTTTACTACTACTTAACTACATTTGCTGGCTGAAAGCACAACTTATGGCTAGCGCGCAAATATTCTATTTTGAACGGAGGAATTTCAGAATCAATGTTGAATAAAATAAAAATGAATAGGCACTTAAGAGTCACAGGAAAAAATGTGGAGAGTTGTAAGCTTACTTTTTGAGAGCATCTGTTTTTGATGTGCTCCTATGGTAATTACGATTGGAGGCAGCAGCCACCTCTGCCTGAGTGACAGGCACCGAAGCTTGGTGTTGAAGAGAGGTTCGGTACTGCGACATAGAAGGTTCTGTTGGCAATGATGCTGTTGTCTGTGACGACTCCTCATTCTCATCCAGTTTTTCATTGCCTCGCTGCTCTGGAAGTTCTGACCCTTGAGTCTTTGTCAGCGTTGGACTGTGGTTTCCAGAGGCTGGTACTGAAGCTGATCGCTGCATGGCTGCTGATGTTGATAGATGGTCACCATTAAGGCTCCTGCTGTAATAGATAATTCAAAAAGTTACAGAAATTGGTTAATTGCAATTTGTTAGAAGTGAATACTCAGTCAAGGAGGAGAAACAATAAAGAGACAAAACAAAGTGGTCTTAGAGGAAGGTCTTCAAATGCAGTTTGCTTTAATATTGCTGACACAACAACACACTTCCTCTCCACGGTTGAAACTGAGATTGACAGACTCACAGCCGCAGTATTTGCAAGTTAAATTCATTCATGGTATAGTGACCCAATACTATCAATTTTTCATTGAAAAACAGGTTTGGAGTGATGTGAGGAATGGAATGTCATTCCTCAAAACAAGAATATCTATAGTCCTGAAGGACAGGGGGTTGATTAACTAATTACTCAACGAAGATCTACTTACAATGCAAAAAAAACTTTAATTAGAAATTTACCAGCGGAACTACTTCACTCCGATTTCTTTGAGAGAAACTGGAACCAAACTAAACTTTAGTGTGCTGTTGTTCACTCCTAAATACATTACCTGATGAACAGTATTGACGCTATTAGTAAAGATGTCAACATCAGGATTCTCCATTACATCGGATTGGATCCAAATAATAACATTGGCGTTTAACCTCTCTCAATGCTACCAATGCGAATAAATTGATATGCGTGACGCTTTTTTGCGACGTGCCACTAATAGCGTCTATGGGCTGATGTACAGATAATAGTCAACCAATATTGGAGCAAAATGTTGGATGCTTCATTATAATTACACAAAACACGAAGGCGTGATAGAATTCAATAGAGCACATATGGTTGACAAAGCTTTGGGATTGTTTTAAGACCAAACTAGAAAAGATCACCACAATACTTAAGGACACATACCAATGAAATGTCTATTCACAATAGGATATATTACTCAAGACCCTTCAAAGCTTTCATGTTGAACTAGTTTCAAAAGAATAGTTCTTGACTTCAAATGAGGGACACAAATACATTTCTTTTATCACACAAAATAAAAAGCACACAAAACATACTAAAGGAAAAATATAAATTATGATGGACCTTCGACGGAATGGGAATCACGTATTAGAAGTGAAAATGAAAATTGGAAATCAGCCTTGAAGATTGTAGTTGAAGTGTTTGTGCAATGAATCAGCGATGGGGTGAGGTGAGGTTATGTTGTTGTTATTTTCTTTGACTGTTTTTGCAGGCTTATCAGTGCTGTTTTTGACCACTTTGACCAAAACCGACATGACGTAGCGCTGTGAAAGGACACTAGGAGCGCTAATGTCTTAAGCCTACCCCCCATATGAAAAGCGGCGGGACGCATCAGCTTGATATGAAATTACCTGCGGTTCGGCGATGATTTCCCCGATTTAATTTCGGGTATAATATTTAGATATCTCCGGTTAGATGTAGATGTAACTACAGTAGATGGAAACTACGCGTTGAAATAAATTTAGGGATCTTTGGATTTGTTTTTTTAACACGTGGGTTCTCACGAATGAAACAAAGATAGAAGAAAAAGCGGAGAAGGAGAAAGAGGGAGGAAAAGCAACCAATTTACTTAAATACATTACGCACGATTATAGGGTGTTTTTTAACTATATGCTATACAATCCTAAAAGTTAGCAGGAGCTGAAAATGCGAACCGCAGATTAGCAAAAATGAATGAGCTCTGGCCAAACGCCAAGGAGCTTTATGCACAAACGGCTTTTTGCACTCCCCCCCCCCCCCCCCCCCGAAAAACGGCTTTTCCCCCCCCCCCCTGGAATTTCTTCAAACTTTGTCTATTGATTACTCATACTTGAGCGCTTCTTTTCCCAAATTTTCAGACCCCCAAAAAATTTTGGGGGGGGCGCTAGGGAGGTCGGAAGTCAAAACCTGTGAACCTCCACATCTCTCGAACGAAGAAAGACATCGAGGTCCAGTTTGGACGAAAAATCGTCTAAAATTGCTTACCAAAGATTCTAAAGGTCAAAATCCCGACATCACATTTTCAAGTTAACATATAAGCTTTTTTTCAGTTTTTGAGTCGAGAAAATTTATTTAAAACAAAAAATTCACAAGATACTCATTTTGATATTTGAACCAAAACCAGTTTTTTTAAATTGTTCGTCCTTTTCCGCATCCAACGAGTGGTCCATTAGGCTGGGGAAACAAACGGTTCCGGAGTTATGAGCGATTGAATTTCCCGCTTAACGCGCGCCGACCGATTTTCGCGCACCAATATATGGTTTCAAAGCCGGATCAGGGTGTTAATAAATCAGATTAAATGTTTGAACCGTGCAAAATACATTCATAGAGATTCTTGAGGGTCGCTGAGTTAAAAAATTTCAGATACTTCCAAAAAACTTTTTCCCCGTAGCGCTACTAGAGAGGCCCATTGAGCGGCCGGTCGGTCGGCACTCGGTGGACTCCCCCGCCCCTCAAAATTTTTTGGGGGTCTGAAAATTTGGGGAAAGAAGCGCTCAAGTATGAGTAATCGACAGACAAAGTTTGAAGAAATTCCGGGGGGGGGGCGAAAAAAACCGTTTTTCTACGTAAGAGCTCTTTCTACGTCAAATATCAACGGAGATACTACCCATCGAAAAACACGCGACGTATAACATCATCGATCGCAGTAATGCATAATATGGTTTCTCCATCTTGGTTTCACTTGCCATTTTATTGCAAAATGAATTGCATTTCAGAGAGAGCCCCTTCAATTAGCGGTTGGGCAACATACGCAGCACACCGAGGCAGTAGCAATAATTTGACCGTATGTTATCACAATTTACCCTGGTAAAAATTGGCAGTAGAATCTGTGTTCCAAAATACCATAGACCTAAAGCCGGCTGTAAGATTTACAATAGCTTCTGTAGCAGGCTGTACAATTTCTTATAGCCTTTCATAGCCGATGGCGATTAAGCAACAGCCAGACTATAAAGTTTATGCTAAACGTTACTAAATACGGATACTAGGACTTAGTTAGTTTTTCGACTACCGCTCTCTTTTTGTGCCGTAGTATCTTGATTTATTTTGCGAGGAAAGCTCCGTATTTTTGAAGGATGCCTGACATTCTTAATATGTTGGAGCGCCTTCAATTTCTTTTGATACTGTGCAATACATCTGGTGTGAAATAGTTGCTTCAGACGCCGTGGCACGCTGCGGCGCGGCGGGCGGGCAGAGAGCGCGAAACGCGCATTGGCGCCTACAAACCTAACAGGGATACTTCACACTTTACGCAATGCGTGAAGTATCCCTGTTAGGTTTGTAGGCGCCAGTGCGTCGCCTCTCCGCTTTGTGTTAGGCTCTAATATTTAATCTCGCGGAGTCAGCGTTTTTCAACTCATGATTTTGAAATGTTTGCACACTCTGTATGGATTATTCTCATTTTAATTGATGAAAAAAAATATGTTTGAAAGGAAAATATAATGTGTGTTTTGTAAATAAATATTAAGGTAGTTCCGTATCAAACTTGATGATTTCCAAAGCACACGAATTTCTACACAATTTCTAATAGCCTTTTATAGCCAATGGCGATAAAGTGTAGAGCCCGGCGATAGGAACTATAGCCCGACTGTATACTTTTTTATAGCTTCGTATAGCCTGGCTATATGATTTGCTCCGCTTTCTACAGCCAGCTATATGATGTTTAATAGCCTTCTTTAGTCGGCTATAAGAACTCCTACGGTATTCTGAAACGCAGCTCCTATCGCCAATTTTTACCAAGGTATTGCAACCTGTGCCAGTGGCGTAGCTAGGGATTCTTTAAGGGGGGAGGGGATTAAAAAACGCGACGGTAAATTNCGCTCTCTTTTTGTGCCGTAGTATCTTGATTTATTTTGCGAGGAAAGCTCCGCATTTTTGAAGGATGCCTGACATTCTTAATATGTTGAAGCGCCTTCAATTTCGTATGATACTGTGCAATACATCTGGTGTGAAATAGTTGCTTCAGACGCCGTGGCACGCTGCGGCGCGGCGGGCGGGCAGAGAGCGCGAAACGCGCATTGGCGCCTACAAACCTAACAGGGATACTTCACGCATTACGCAATGCGTGAAGTATCCCTGTTAGGTTTGTAGGCGCCAGTGCGTCGCCTCTCCGCTTTGTGTTAGGCTCTAATATTTAATCTCGCGGAGTCAGCGTTTTTCAACTCATGATTTTGAAATGTTTGCACACTCTGTATGGATTATTCTCATTTTAATTAATGAAAAACAATATGTTTGAAAGGAAAATATAATGTGCGTTTTGTAAATAAAAATTAAGGTAGTTCCGTATCAAACTTGATGATTTCCAAAGCACACGAATTTCTACACAATTTCTAATAGCCTTTTATAGCCAATGGCGATAGAGTGTAGAGCCCGGCGATAGGAACTATAGCCCGACTGTATACTTTTTTATAGCTTCGTATAGCCTGGCTATATGATTTGCTCCGCTTTCTACAGCCAGCTATATGATGTTTAATAGCCTTCTTTAGTCGGCTATAAGAACTCCTACGGTATTCTGAAACGCAGCTCCTATCGCCAATTTTTACCAAGGTATTGCAACCTGTGCCAGTGGCGTAGCTAGGGATTCTTTAAGGGGGGAGGGGATTAAAAAACGCGACGGTAAATTTACAATATTTTGTGTACGTGCCTGGTAATATTTCATGTCTGCCCTCCAAAAGTAGAAAAAAAAGGTACATTGGAGATGTTCCAAGTGTGAGGACTTGGCGATTTGACTGTTGATTCTTATGCAAAAGTTCGCGAGAAACACGATGGTGCCACTGGTTTTCTCTGAAATCAACTCCCAAGCTCAAAAAAAGCTCTCAAGTTGTGGCCAAAATAGAGGGGATATCCTACGCTATCCTGAGAGTCTACCTCTACATCAAGACAAACTCTCCACGCAAAGATAGGGATCAAATACATTGACAGGGTTGCCGTGTTTTCAGTCTTAGAGTCCCCAAATACAGTGGCAGCCCTGTCAATGTATTTGCTCCCTATCTTTGCATGGAGAGTTTGTCTTGATGTAGAGGTGGACTCTCAGGATAGCGTGGGATATCCCCTCCATTTTGGCCTCAACTTG